GTCCCTATGTCGAGTCAGTTTACTCATGTCGGGCCTTATTCATTGATTTTTTCTGGGAAAATGAGTGCCCCTATGTCAAATTGTCCGCATGTGGGGGTCTCACTGTAGAAACCACTGTACAGTACAGCACGGTATGTATATTTTTCTATAATCATGGGTAAAAATAAATAAATACATTTTTCCCCCACTTTGTCCTCAAATCCATGTTGTCCTTTTTTTATTTTCTGTCCTGAGGTGTAACAAAATTTTGCAAAAATAGTCCGACTTTGCCACCCAAGGATTAAGAATTGAATTTGCATAGCAGACTTTTCACGCAATAAACTAGTCTGTTGTACAAATTAAGTCCATTGTGCATGGGTTGACAGTGAAGTATTTTTTATGCCAGCAAACTCATAGCTTGCCTAACAACTGCTTTGCTAGTTGCAACTACAGCAGTGAAAGAAATGTAATTTTTTAACGGTAACAAGGTTTTTGCCTGTAAACCATTAAAACTTTTGTCAAACAATTTTCTGTGTCTAGCTAAGTAGCTATCTGAGTATGACTTAATTGGGAGCTTTAACAGTACTGTTTTAGATTTTATGGGCTTAAAGAGATAATGGGCATTGTTCCAAATGTTCACCTGTAGTAAGTTAAATATAAAAATATAGAATATGTTCCATAACTGATGAGCTGATGACTACCAACTTATTAATACATGCAAAGTTTACATGCTTCAAAATCAGAAACAGATAAAAATGAAATCAATAAAGAGTACTGTACTGTATATGAACTCACATGATGTGAAAATCTGATTTCAAACTTCAATCTTTTGCATTCCAGGCACTCATACTCAGGCTTCCAATTATTTGGTAAATAGTTGCTCAGCCAGATTTTCTTGCTTCTTCCATAAAAATCCCCACCAGAAATCACCAAAGGATACTTTTGCTGGTGCTTATTCAAATTGATTGCTTGTATCTCTGAGCCTTTTTCTTCAAGCTGCACTTCATCTGGAATCATACAAAGTAAAATTTTGTAACAACACATTTTATCCAAACATTTTTCATGGGCCTTTCAAAATGGCCACAGTGGTATTAAAATTTGTTACATTTTCTTGTGGATTGAAAGTTTTTCCCAGGTCTCAGTTGCTTGATTGTACAGTCAACCCCCACACACTGGACCTTCCACTTTTTCTGTGGTTCCATTGTGTCTTTAATTGTGCAATGGATTTTTGCACAAGGGACTGCCTCTGGAGGCAGATCTCCATCCTGCACAATGGACTAAATCCACCTAACAGACGTTCTTTTGGCTTAAAATTAATGGTAAAAAGTACAAATTTTAATAATTGAATTTGCTTAAGAGACTTTTCACACAACAGACTAGTCTGCTGCACAAATTAGGTCAATTGTGCCTTGACTTTATTGAGATGTTTCTTTAATGGAGTCAAATAAGCACACATTTTAAACTGTGAGAAGCATTTTCCTCTGTCTAACTTGGATTTTATATAAAATTTGTTCCCGTATTGATTGTTCGGAAAGTATCCATACACAATCTTTTACCTGGTAATTTCGAAAAAATTGAATTTTTCTGGATACTCTCCTTTCCACTTTCAAGCAAGAAATACAAACAAATTAACTGAGACAAAAGATAAGAAAAAAAAACCATTGATTCCAAAAATTAGAACATAAATTCGTATTGTCTTCTGGACTCAACAGGGAAAAATAATTAATTAACCTTCATCCGCAGTAATGATTTGAAAAATCTCAGACTGATGATCCAATTTCAGAGACAAGTTGCTTCTGAGGAACTTGTCCCTGTAAGAAATCCTGAAGAATGTGTTCAAATCATTAGTCTTCAACTCCTTGTAAGGCCAATGAGTTCTCCAGTCAGTCAATTGCAAAAGGTCTGGCAAGTATCCAATAAATGCTGCAAAAACAAAGGTGAAATATTTACCAATCAAACGTTTTCTCTGCAGAAATCATCCAACATTTTGCCATAGCAGCTGTGACTTGCTATATGCTTATGAAGAGAGAATTTCAAACATTCATCGTGCCTTAAAAAAAACCATTTTGAAACATTAAAAAAATACTCACAACCAGCATTTAATTCCCTTTGTTTAGATGATGCTCCAGCAAACAATCTTCGGAATTTCCCTTTTTCATTTTGCGCTTCAGACGCGAATAAAATTTTGGCTTCAGATGAGAGAAACCTTTTCAAGATCTCGACCCCTTTTCCAACAATGAGAGTATCCAAACTATATAAAAAAACACAAAATATAACCATTTTAAGCATGGTAATAAATTGGCAATGATGAATCATATCAAAGGCAAAGAATATTTCAAATCTTACGGATGAACGAAGAAAACAATGGTGTTTCCTGGATCCGAGCTCAAGTTTTTAATTTCCAGTAGGCCAGTATGCAATAAATCAATTCGATTGATGTAGCTGTGTTTCGGCTGATGTTCGTCAACCGTGATGACCTGTCAAAATATTTCTCAATGACATAAAAACGGCACAAAGTATCAAAAGTTGAACAGTTACGATATAAAAAGTATGGAAAGACCAGCAGCGAAAAATGAGTAGACATGAAAAAATGAAATAAAGAGTGAAGGAGCGCAAGTAATTATTATAATGATACTGTAGCAACTAAATTGCGTATATAATCTTAAAATGTACACAAACTTTACCTGAATAATTTTTTTTTTTCAAAAATATAAAAATAGTTCCACAGAACGTAAAAACTAGAATTTTCCCTGTGCAGAAGCAATTTTTAACATAATTTTTTCCAACCACGTATTTTTTTTCAAGCAGAACAAACTATTCCAACCAATCAAAAATGTGTCCAATTTTAAAAATAAACATTTTAGGCATGCTTCTCCTGGTACTCAAACCTAATCCGATTTTAAGCTACTTTTAAATTTCAATTACAAAAACAGCACCAGCAAGTAAAGCAAGAAAAAACTCAAAATTCCCCCACTTACACAATTTTTTTATATGTTTCTTATCCCTCCAAACCAAAAATATAAATGGATACAGGTGGTACCTCTCAATTTGACCCTAATCTGTAGCTGGACTATAGGGTTAAATTGCAAAGCAGTTCAATTGCAAGACAATGTCAAATGGCATGCTGTTTTCTACATGGGATTTGATGTTTCATGTCTGTCCACAGGTCAAATTACAGGGCAAAGGTTGAATTGCAAGGTACCATCTGCATAACAAAAACTGATTTAGTCAAGCCCAAAAATTGTTGGTCTTTTTCTATGGTGTAAACATACATTTTTTGTGCAGGCTTTTTGTTGAAATCTGATTGGCGGTACTAATAAAAAACTAATCCAAACAAAGTAAAAATTTGCAGACCTCCTCCATATACCAATGCAATGCTCCTAATGTTTTTTTGAAACTTTCTTTTGAATTTATGAATTAAGGTTGATGAACTGAAAAAAAATTGAATTGAATAGCAATACGTTTTATTTTCTGCTTTTCAGCATTCACAAGGTTCAAACAATGTTCCCACATCCAGGCTACCTCCACTCCCCACCCACATTCATCCAAACACATTCTTCACATCAGAATGGAAAATAGAGAAATAAGCTGTACATGGATATTAAGAGAAAAGAATATACATCTCAAAAAGTGAAACCACGCAACTGATCTAAATATGTACACTTTCTTCCCTTCCCTAGGTGTTCACAAAAACAAAATAACAATAATAAGAATTGCAGCATAAAGCAATTAAATGACCCAAATTATAGCACAAGGTGTTCAACCTGCTCCCAGATAAGCTTTAGTTGATCAAGCAATTTGGAGAGAATCTTTGATGATAAATCATATCAGGTTTACAAATTATCATGGACCTCTAAGATTTTGGAATGATTCTTTTCATTGAATTATAAGAGTCCCATAAGCCTTTTTGGAGTTCATTCCTGTAGCTGTGGAATGCTGAGCATAAGAAGAGAAGGTGATTTGTTGATTCATCAACCAATGTATTTATACTGCAAAAATGACACCACTTGGACACGTTTAGAAATTTGATGAATTTTTCAATAATTTATTTATTTTTTATGAAAAAATAACAACCTATATACCTTGAGAGGTTGAAGCCCAGAGAAATTGGCAGACCAGTAGAGCCTCCTGAAGGCGTCCGAGTTAAATTCGTCAATTTTTGCAAGAGTCACAATCTGCAGCACTGCATCTCGCAAAAAATCACGTTATGGTGTTGGGAAAAAAAAGAAGATCTAGGACTTTCAATGGCGTGCATATTACCAGGTTTTCCATGGACATCTGATGCCGATTTTGATTTGCCGGATGGATCCAAGTCGAAAATTGTCCATAAGATAAAAACAGCAGATGTCAAAGCCAGGAACCACGTCGAACAAGTAAGCACCCGCATCATAGTCAAAAAGATTCTTCTTTTCGGCACATATCCCAAATATTTCTTCAAATTATTCTGAAACCTGTGACGAATCATGACGATGCAAGAGCTGCTCGGAATTTTGGTCTGACGTGAAACAGAGAATGAGTTTCCAGATGGCTTTGAAATGAAGTGAAATCAGGAAATCTGAGTTTTCCTGCTCATCTTGATGAAATAGGAAATCAGGGAATCGGAGACATTCTGATGCAAAAAAATTTCACTAGACTCAAAAAATTATTCATTTTGAGAAGATTCCAAATAAAATTAAACAAATATTTTATAATCAAAGGAGTTCCAGCTCACTTTCCCACTGCTTTTTTTCAAAGTTTGGCTCAAGTGAAGATAGAATGAGAAAAACTGTGCAACCATGTTTTTAAGAAACTACTGTATTTCCAACAAAAATAAGAAAATTGCATAAATGTACGTAACAGCCATTTTTGCAACAGGATTGGGCATTCAAAAGGGCACCTTTGATATTCAGTATATTTCCAAGTAATTATTTGTTTCTCTAGAAATTTTCTTAAATTTTTCAGAAATAAGCTTGACCTCTATCTCATCATACGTGAAAATTAGATGCACATTTGGGACCACTTGGAAAACCTCATGAGATGAGGAAAATTACACAGATGAGAATGTGAGGATATAATGAAGAGTAAAGGCCCAAGAAATAAAGCAATGCAAAATTTCACACATAAATGCACTACATTTCAGGAAAGGGCTTATCTTGAGATTTCAAAATTCCAGTTCATATCACTGTATGGTACTTTTTTGGAGGATTGGGCAGTGGCTTGCTGAAAATTTCAGTTATAAGGAGCAGTTCAACTTATTTCAAGGCTACAATTGAAGAGGTCTGAAACTGTACATGTGAAGGTGTATCTGAAATGACTAGCACAGTACAAACATTCTGTGTAAGATAAATTGAATGAGTTGCAAATAGAGAAAAGCTTGATTAAATATCACTTATGTGATCTAGAGCTACCAATGCTATCTTCAGCATTAACTTGCTTTTCTTCCATTTTAAGGTAATTCTTGTAAGTACTTTTCAATCTTCTTAATTGTGCATTGTAACCAACCCAGGAGATTAAATTTTCTTGCACCATAGTACCTTTTGGACATGATAAAAACATGCAAAATTCTGAAACAGTTGATGGATAGAGATTACAGTAACTGTACTGCTGTATCTTACAGACACTTCTTATTCATCTTATTTTGCATAAATCCTGTACACTGTATTCAACTTCATCATGTAGAACAGTAATATGTCAGTACTGTAGTGCCTGACAAGCCATTCTATCAATAATTCGAATAACTTCAGCTACAACTTCGAAACGCCTGATCTACCTTTAGCAGCAACCAAGTAAGATATCATGAGTCACTTAAATTTTTGTAGGTGTCACTCCTGTCATGCGTACATGACCAATTAACTCGCCAAGACGTTATTGTTCCATTATGATCGGCTGGTGAAACGCTGTGGAGTTTATGAGTATATTTAACTCTGTGCATGTTTTCGCTTTATTTTCACCGGGTAATAGGGTAATGCGGAAGTGTTCCGTCCTGGAGACAGGAAGTGCGGTCCATAAACTAGAATAGTTATCCTCCAAGTATATAGCATCAACCAAGGAAGGACAAGACGTAACAGGACAACTCGTACATTAACGTACCGCACTGCTCCCAGCAGCAGCCGAGCTCCTGCTGGCCACGCCCAACAAATAATGTACACCATCCAGGTGACCTTGGGGAATCCTGTCCCATTCACGCTCTGTCACCGACTGACCAGCACAGGAGTACCACTTATACGGTGCACATCTGGGCCCGTAATGTACTTGGTGCTACAGTATCACCAAATCTGTGAGTATACCGGGGACCAAAACGAACTCCCTATTGTACTTTTCATTCCCGCCAGCACCCGTTTGCCAGAGGAGGAAGGAAGACGAGAAGTGGACAGGAGAGGGTGGGAGGTAAGAAGCGAATACTGTATTGTATTCACAGTACAGTACAGTATTGTTCTGTGTTCCAACCTTCCACATATGAATTGCTCATCACACTTGCTTCTTCTTCACGTTGCCCGTTCTTATTTAAACTTTATGTTTCTTTCATGCTCCTCTGTGTGTTGCGTGATACCGTACAGTACTCTATAGACTGAACTGAGATCGAAAGAGGAATAAGACAGAGAAGGAGCAAGATGTAGTACAGTACAGATCTGGATTAGGTTCTCTTCACCACCAATGGTTTCCCTTTCTTTTGTTGCTTCCTTTCTCATTCCCCACTGTATTGCACTGTGCGGTACAGTACTGCTCTTTGAGGGGCGGGTCCATGCCGTGGTTGTCTGGATGATGGACAACTCGCACAATGGACTCCAGAAGATGATTATTTACTTTCCAGACTGCCCACATGCTTTGGTTAATAGAAAGGTGCTGAAGAGGATGTGACTCCTGTATTCATTTTATGGATATAACTCTCTAGTGAAATTCCTGAATGTATTGAGCATTTTTGAATTCATACTGAATTTTTTTTAATGCAATATAATCAACCATTTTACATTTAGCTTTATAACATTGAATTACAGTACTTTATAAGCTTTTGAGGCGTGGGTCTGGGGACAATTGAACCTGCTATGTATAGTTGCAGTCAAACCTCTACAAGTCAAACTTCAAGGGGCTAAAGAACAAAATTTGAGTTGGGGAGTTTTCAATGTAGGAAAGCAATAAGTACTTTTGTGTGGGGGACAGACAGAAGAATTGCAGGAAATTATAATTGATATACTGATGGGCCTTAAGTCATTTTCTAAATGATTTGGCAGGATATTGCTGAACTTGGAGGCAAGGGCTCTCACTTCTGTTCCAAACACATTTAAGTAAAATTTTTGATGCTTCTCTCATCCTTGAAAAAAATTGACAAAAGGCTTCCATAAAATGTGGAGGTTTGAGAGGGAAATTGTTGGGAAGGTTATTAATAATGAATTGATTGCAAGGGAATTTTGGCAGAGACTTGAATAAAAAAGTTACATAGAGAGGTATCCAAGTTAGGGAAGTTAGAGTTATCAAGGTTCAATTGCATTTAATACCATAATTTCAGGAAGTGAATTTATAAACTCAACTCCTCACATATGCAAAAGCACCCCATGCCCTTATTAAACACCTTGCAAAATGTATTAAAAATGTCTTAGCAATACTGAAATTACTTCCCTGATACAGTTTTTTTTTATCATAAATCTTAGAAAGAAAAAGGAAACAGAAGATGAGTTCCAGGAAAAGCCGGAATTTATGGGGTGAAGCATTTTGTTGGACAGTGGATACATCCAGTACAGTAAAGTACTTGAGTCAGACTCTTGGAATTTTCTTCTTGACCTTTCTTGCAGCTCTCTAATCTGGATCCTCCAACTTCTTCCATCCTGCATCCCAATTCCTGTGATGATACCAAGGACAAATTCAATGGGGAGCAGAGCACTACAGTACAGTATAAAATACTGTATCGAATCCCTGTCGTCCCTCTTCCATTTACTCGTCCCTGATCCATCAGTTTAACGCTTCTTTTCATATCCTGCTTGTGCAGGTTCTCCCATGGTTGCGTTCCGGAGGCTTTTCTTGGGCTCAGAGCGCGCGGTTCGAAGAATTCATTCCGCGTGACGTCACAGTCTCTGAGGTGAGGAGGAGGGGGGAGGGTTTGGGCAGCGATCGGCAATCGAAAGTTATCCTGGGCGTGTCCGCCGGCAAAACGGTGCGCGTGATTGACGGACAGGGACAACATAGGAATCCTGTAGGAAAGCGGCCGGCTGACGTGTCTGGTTATCAGTATAACTAGCGATGATGTAACTGTAGAAGCAGTGCAGTACAATTGAACCTCGCTCTCGAAGGTTGATTTGAAAGAGCTCGAAGAAGTAAACTTGAATTGGAAACATTTTTAGGCAATGAATTTTGTGCAGTTTATTCAGTGGGAATCATTTTCTGGCCAATGTATGAGAACTGTTCATTTTCATAGGTTGAATATCGGCAGGATCAGATTAGTAGCATTAACAATGGCACTACAGTATTGTACAATGAGGTTAGTCTATCTGCAGCAAGTTCTACAATACTGTGTTCACATTGTGTAAAAAACAGTGTCTCCTGCTGATCCTTGCAGACCACAAAAAACTTGTGGATCCCCTGTACTACATATCAACCAAATATTCTTTTTTGTATCAAAATTTGTTCCAGCAAGGGAAGAAATTGACAGGGTCAAATTTTAGAATACAAACAGTACCATAATTTTACCTATTGATGCATAGTTCAAAAATAACTTATCGAGTGATTCAGCTGAATGCTTTTGTATTTCTCCTATTCTTCTTGATTTTGGGATGAATGCAATATGCTGTTCAAGTTCAAGTTTGAGTGTGCCCCAATAATTCTGGTGCATGTTGAAATTCCAGAGGGAGGTTTAAAATTGGAGTCATGGAGGTTTGAAGGAGAAAGCCTTCCACTTGGCAAGGTTTTTAATGCAATTATTCTACAGACGAATTCAGACAGGCACTTGAAAAAAAAAGACTTGGGGAGATTCCAATTATCCAGTTTCAACTGTATTTTACTTACCAATAACAAAGGTAGTTGGCACTACATATTGTTGACCTGTCTTATATTTTATTTTGCACACCAATATTTTTTCCTCATGTAAATGCCTGTAGGCATATGTAGATTTTTTCTGCCCAGTCACTTTTCCGCTTTTCAATGCAGTACTGTATTTTCAAGACGGGTTTGGCAATTGGGTTCAAGAGCGCAAGAAAGTGGACCTATTGCTGGGCACCCAATTGATGCAACCGTTCAAGTGGGGAGGTTCGCGGGGAGAGAGTGAATTCCGAGGGGATGAAAGACAGAGTGAGGGACGGAATGCTCATTTTTGTGTGACTTTCGTATTTTCTTTTGCTAGGAAACTGTTTTGCGTGGGACTTGAATTCGTTCAGGCGGTGCGCGTTTCGGTAAAGGTAGGTGTCCGATTAGAAAAGGTTTTGGAGCAAGCGGAGCAGCTTTTCATCCCACTGATGTACGTAACCATATCTTGAGGAGCTGTTGGCAAGTGATGACTTTATGCTGTCCAAAGGTTTCTCCTCCGTTATTCGCACGTCCTTGCTAAAACCCTTGTGACAAAAGGATGCGCTATCCTAACAGAGAATTTTTTTTGCAAGGAATTCCCGCCTTTCAGGGGAAATTTTGCGCCATGGATTTCCCCTCCCGTGTAAGATCCGGGTTTTGGGAACGAAAGAGTGTCGTATTATTTCAGAGGTTCTATACCGGTGTTCTGCGACCCCTTCCTTGGCTCTATAGTCCTTATTTCTTCGTCGGTGTGCAGAAAATTTCTCAGAACATGTCTAGAGCTCCAAGATTTTCCGAATTTTATCACAAATATCTTGGTGAATAATGGGATCACAAAACTGGTGCTATTCATAATATTTTAAACCTCCATGCTGTAGTTCCTGCATATCTGAAACAATTTCCTGTTAATTACTATGACCATTGTCATTTGAATATTGTAGTGAGTGCTGTGACGAAGACAAACTTCACCAGTGTTGCACCAGCTTTTATAGCTTTTGATGAGAGTTGACCATTGCTGAGTGAGCTACAAGATTCAAGAGTGAATTTAGAGTTGAAGAATCCGGTAGATTGATTCTTCCGAGTGTGTGAGAAGTTATTGTGATCCTGTTTATACTATACTGTATATGTGAGCATTTTTATTTTTTGTGCTCTATAGAATATGAATAAATTCTGCTTCACTTATAGTTCAGGAGGATTTTGTTATATGTTTCGTGTGTGCAGGATTTTCTTCAATTGTGAAAAAATTAAGCCTGAAGGAGACAAGGCATTACGATGTACCCCTTTGACTTTCTTCTACTGTATATACCTCACAGCTTCCGGAATAAGAAAATTGATGCAGCAGATAGTACAGAAATCAATATCTAGTGCTGAATGTTTGAGAGGTTAAAAGAAGAAGAATATAAAAAGATCATTCAAGCAGCAAGAATACAGAAGGGAACTTTGCCAGACAATAATATAATGGATATTTGAAGCTTATCTGTTATATTTTAGCAGATTAATTTATTTTATTTTCAACAGATGAAAATTTGCAGGTGGTGAATCAAAATAGTGAAATTTTTCATAAATTTCGATTTTCCCATCTTGACTCATATTATTACTTGGTCTTCCAAAAATTAGGATTTTGGCAGTTGGAGAACACTAGTCTATACCAGTGTTCCACAACCACTTGCCTGCAGACCAGTGCGAGTCAACATAAGTTTTTGCCAGTCCACAGGAAAGTCTCTTCAATAAGTGAATCAATGGTAGTAATGATGTCTGTTATCTCTATCTGAAATTTCGGAGATACAATGGCAGTCAAAAGTACACTATCTGATGAACAATTTCATTTCATTTTTTTCCTCATGATGCTGCAAAAAAATTGTCACATGCTGAAATAAATTATTTCAATTTTTCGTCATGAAAAAAAATTTCTTCAAGCCCACCTTTTTAAACAGTTTTCCAAGACCTCCCACTAAAGATGTAATTTTTTTTTTCAAAAAAGCAGGAATTTTTCCAGCACTTAACATATATCCTTTCCAACAAAACTTTTTTAGGCTGCATAAATTTTATGGAACTTTGCCCATCTGCGCAAAGTTTTGATAATTTGCCAGTCCATGTCCCCAACTGGTCTATACCCATTACAAAACTGCAGTGGTTGGCATTGCACATTTTTGTGTTTTTTTTTTCAAATCCTCCAACTCAGGAATCTTCTTTCGCCATCTAAATGCCTCTTACCCATTTATACAAAAAGGGTTGCGTTTTCTTCCTTATCAGCGCTTCCCTACCACGAATATCTTCAGGCAGGGTTTATAGTTGTTGGGGTAGAAGAGCACAAAAAGTGAATGCTGGACCTTTTGCTGGACACCCAATTGACGCAACTGTTCATGTAAGGAGGCTCGCGGCGAGAGAGTGAATATAGGGAGGGGATTAAAGAAAGACACGGACAGATGCAAAGGCCAGCCTTGGTAATGGCTGCATGTCAATCGCAATGCGCGCGTCGCCGCGAGTGGAGTGTTGCGTGAAAACATAAAAATATTTTGTTCTTCTGAAAAGAGTTTCAGTGATTCTATACTTATTGTTGTTCTTGCTCGGTTTCCGGAAGGGAGTTGATGGCGGCTGTGACAAAGACAATAAGATGATAAGTGCCATGTGATCTTTCGTTGTTGCTCGATTCTGTATAATATGATGGCTGGCGGAGGCCTTGTGACGACGCACATCAGTGTTAATTTTCTCCTCGTCGTCTTTTTGGCCGGACTCGTCGGAGCGCAACTTCAAGGTGAGTCTTTTGTGGTCGGCATCTTCATGGTTTGTTGGTTGCTGCTGCTGCTTGCGCGAGTTTCCCGGTCTCAAAATTACCGAATTGATGAATGTTATTTTTACGCATGCGTTGATGACGAGTTCGTTAATGACGTGATGATACTGTATTGCCTCGCAGAAAACTGTTTTCTCCCTGCTCTTGAAACGTCAATTTTGAAATTTGCTCTAGTGGAGTTTAAAAAAAAAACCACGCTGTAAATTAGCAAATAAAGTTGAACCTCAATAACTGGAACCTCCCCAAGTCGAATTTTATTCAAGTCCCCTCTGAATTCCCTTAGAAAGAATGCGTTAAAAACCTCCCTATTTTTTCCCTCGAAAACCTCTGAAGTGAAAGTTTCTGAGGCCTTTTGGATTATAGCTTCTTGACACAGGAAAGAGAAACGCAATGAAAAAAACTGAATTTGATGTGTTTTGAAAGGAAGTGAAAGACTTGGAAGCAATTAGGCAAATGAACCCCTGCCTCCAAGTTAAGCTTCCAGTCAACTTATTTAAGTCGTCAAGTGAGGCCCAGAAAATCACCTTTTACAATTTTGTGCAATTTTTCTGCAAGAATGTGTGGTTCCGTAATAAAAACCTTTAAAACTCACAATATTCTTTTTTAACGATCCCTTCAAATTCGACTTCGAGAGTTTCGAATGTACAGTGTCAGAAACAGCCTTCCTTTCATGTGGTTATTTTGGCGAGAGAGAAAGAATTGCGAGTTCTCGGGATTGAAAGAAAGACAGACACATTGGGAAAAGGCCAGTCGAGGTCTCGTATAATCGCACTGTGCGGATTTTCTGTTGGCGAACAAAGATGATTTGCAGATCAACCCAGCAGAAAAACTTTCGTAAATTTACGCAGGAAATTCTTGAAACATTCCAAAAGTTTCGCAGAAAATTGCAGAATAGCTTGATCCAGTCTCGTGATCTTCACATAAACACATATACACGATAAATCAAAACATAAAATATACGTGTGGATTTTCGCATCTACATGAATGATCTTTTCTACAAAAATTTTCTGTGTATAACGATTTTTTTTGTGTGTGGTGCTATATAGGGTATATTCTATTCATATTATAGGGGTTCTATAAAACAAACTTTTCTCTATGAGGAATATTTTTCTGATCCCTTGAGTTTTGTGGTAGATATGTAGTCCACCTGTATTTTCAGATTTGGTCATTCTCTGATCCCTGTAATATTTGTTGAAAGTTTTGGGAGATTTTCGCAAGTATGGACACTGTGCTATTTCTTCTTGTGTCGTTTCTGAAAATTACGCCAGCGAACGAAATAAAATAAAATCGCAATTTATAGCTTTTGGGAAGAAATTTACGGGTTTAGATTTGTAATTTATGGAACCGAGGTTTACCGCAGATTTTCTTACGGTCTGTGGTTTCTTAGATACAGTACATACAGCAAGAAACTCTTATGACGTCACTGGTTTTCGTAATACTTCATCTATGATTTTTGTGTTCGAAAAATTTACGTTGGAACCTTGGAAGTAACTGCGCTGTATTTTTTATACATTTTTTAAAAATTTATTTTGTGAAAAGGGTTCTCCCATAGGTTCCTTTTATGCTCTCCAATTCATGCCGTCGGAGGCGAACAAAGCATCAATTTGATGATTTCAAAAAAGTTCCTACCCATGTGTTGTATACACTAGTTGAAATTATGTGTAGAAGTATTTCGAGGTAGAGTGATTTGGTAATTCAATTGAACAATTCTTTGTTTTTTATCCCCCATCGTTCAGGAAATCTCATCGCAATAATGTTGATAGAAAGTCTTGTTCAAGAAATGAGTTTTTTTTTTTTATTTCGAGGTAGAGTAATTTGGTAATTCAATTGAACAATTCTTTGTTTTTTATCCCCCATCGTTCAGGAAATCTCATCGCAATAATGTTGATAGAAAGTCTTGTTCAAGAAATGAGTTTTTTTTTTTTCGGCAACCAAAATATCGTGCCGATGATCCGATTTTTAAACTGCTGTGAGAAATGGTAAAAAAAAGAAATTTTTAAATGATGCAATCAGTTATGTTTTTCCTTTTCAAGTAATCATATTCAACTTCCTGTTTAAAAAAACGAAATTCAAGATTTTTGCTGTTGAGAAATACTTCTGATGACGCATATTTTTGAAAATCCCGAACATGATTACAATTTTTCCTTTGACTTAGTTGCATTGAATTTTCGTGTGATTTATAATTGCCTTTGTGAGGTTTACAAAATTCCGATTATAACTCAGGGTTCAGATTTGAAAAATTGCTGAGTTGAGTTAAGAATGTTTTCGAATTCTGCAATGTCCTGAAATATTGCGATAATATTTCATTTTCCCGGTGAAACATTCAAATACGGGCGCCGCCTCCTTGAGATTTACATCTTAGTAAAAATTTGAAGAGCTTTCTATATTTTATTTTTAGGTGAAATATAATTTTTTTTGACGATTAGCAGGGATTTCGATTCGCTCATTGCGGTTCGATGATAAATGTTCTGAGTATTGGAGAAATTCATCGACGTGGTGAAACTGACTTTTCGACCATACATTTCAAAATTCGAAGTTTGACGCCTTCATACAAACTTTTTTTTTTAGAAGTGCAAGAACATCTCAAGGAACCAGGAATTTTTAAAATAAGGAACGGTTGTCGAAAAATTCGTCCCTCTGTGTTCGCAAAGTTTTTGTACCTCACTTCAAAATTTTGTTTTTCGCAATAATCCATTATTTTGGCTGTCATTTTCCACGAGGTTGCCTCAAAATTCTGCGGGTCTGAAGTACTGTTGACAAAATTGACAGAAATCGTGTTTTCTTGAATAGTTTTGATTTTTATGGAAACCACTGATTTATTAATGTCTGCTGAAATATTTTGAAGAACATTATGAGCTAATGTGTTTTCCTGTTATTTTAATGTTTCCGACTGCAATAAGTTCCATCAATTCATGAAAAAATTACCAAAGACGCGTTTTCTTGTAGAAAATCCTCCTGTTGAACAAAACTGATTCTTGAATTGAATTATTTCTCTTGTGCTTCTGCGTGAAATGGTACAGTATCTAATGTATTCCATTTCCAGCACGAGCAATTATTTGCTGAAAAATGCTAGTTTAAATTCAAGACTATCGATGATTTGTGATTGATTCGAAAAAAACTTTCGAAATATTTCTGGTTCGTTGTCATGGCATGGGAAAAAATATCGTGAAACTCGGCGAGTATTTGCTTGGCGTCGTGTTGCGCAAATATACTAGTTGTTACTAAAGCGGTTCTGAGGACGAATTCTTCAAAGCCCACGGAGAAAGTGCGACATTCCACTGATGTACGTGTCTCATACATATTTTAAAAATCTTATTCATTTTTTAAAAATTTCAAACGAAAAGGAATCCGGTGTCCTTTTTTGCTGCCTAATACGGTAGTTCAAACAATGTTTCTATGAAAAGTGTAATCAAGAATTACGAAAGGAGGCGGAAAAAAGGTGATATACATCCAAAAATAAAGCACAAGATCAGCTGTGGGGTTCAGCTGGGGATTTCTTTCATGAAATCCCAAAAGAAAAAAAAGAAAATTGTCTTTCAACTCATTATTTCAAACTTGTGATTCCTTATTTTGTGATTGTCTATAGTTCCATTTGTGATTACAAAAATGCTCGAAGCCATTTTCTCGGAAATATTTTCTGGCTCTTCTTGAAGTTTTACTCAGAAATGTTTTGATGCCCCGGGATCAAAATTACCCATTGCTTCAGGGTTCGAAATTCCTGATTTTCAGATTCAAACCTAATTTTTTAAAGCACTTTCCGATGTTGAAATTCGAGAATTATGGGGATGCTTTTTTTCAAATTTGTGACCAGAGAACTTAGAATTCCGCCGTGAACGAATATTTGCATAAATGGAAGAAAAAATGATTTATCATTTCGACAGTGAATCCAAATTGTGAAAAATTCGATTCGACTGACTTGGAGCTCATGGTGAAAACTTAAAGTTTAAAATAGGGTACTGTGTATATTTCTTGTATCCCAAGGTCCCAGCAGTATTCTCGTTATCCTTTCGCAATATATCGACAATATTTAATGTGTTTTCGAAGGAACTTTTCTTTGACTTGCGAAGAACCATTTTATAATTTGATGGAAAAATAATGGCTGAAGGCGAATTTTAGAGGCACGTATTGCAAATGGATCATTTTACAAATTTTCTTCTGAATATTTTTGATTGGAATTTTGTCAACTCTTTGAACGGAAGGTAGAAGTTCCGACACTGATCGGGATTTATAAATTTCAAAAGTGCATCATCAAATTTCGAAAAAGCCCGTCTATATAGAATATGAATACGAAGCCGTGTTTGGAAAATATGGGGGAACATTTTTCCCGTAGTCCCAAGACGTACGTCCCATGAGTACTTTTGAAAAAAGCCCAACGCCAAAAAATAAAAAATAAACCACTTGGGAGAAAAGCAAATAAAAAAGAGGATTGGAATTGACACCAGGGTGACGAGGGAAAACAAAAAAATATGTGAGCAATGTTCGCACGCGTTGCGGAGCGAATGGCAAGAATTTTTCCTTGTTCCTTCCCAGCAATTGCGCCGTGAAATTTTCTCTGGTGTGTTGCTGTGCTTGTGTGTGTGTGTATAATGTATTATAAATTAGTATCTTTCGAAGGAGAAAGCGATACGCAGGTTTATTTCCCTCCACTGTATTTACGGATCGAGGAAGAAGTCACACTTCATAAAGTGTGTAGGTCGACTTCCTTTCCTCCCCCAAGAGAGAGAGCTTCACTTTTTAAAAATTTTATTACCGTGTATAATGCGATTTTTTGTGCCTCCTGGCCGCAGCCATATAAAAAGTTAGTCTCTGGGAAAACCGGATGCTTGAAAGTTACTCAAGAATTTCTAGCTTGAGAATAAACAAGGAAATTCATGCATGCTACAGTTGAACCTCTCTAAGTCAAATCTCAAGGGACAGAGAAAAAAAATCGATTTAGGGAGGTTTTGAGTCATAGAGGCTAGCGTTACAAAAGCAAGAATATTTGTTGAGAGAAACAAGAAGAATTGCATAGCATTTTAAATGGTGATATTTTGGGCCTTCTTTAATGAGTTGATAGGATGCTGAACTTGGAGGCAAAGATTCATTTGCTCAATTAGTAATTTACTTCCTTTCAAAACACATCAAATTCAATTTTGAAAAGTATGAAACCACCAATGGCAAGGAATTTTGTAAGGAAATTCATGCATGATAAAGTTGAACCTCTCTAAGTCAAATTTCAAGGGACAGGAAAAAATCGATCTAGGGAGGTTTTGAGTCAAAGACGTTAGCATTACAAAAGCAAGAATACTGTATTTGTTAAGAGAAACAGAAGAATTGCACCACATTTTAAATGGTGATATTTTGGGGCTTCTTTAATGAGTTGATAGGATGCTGAACTTGGAGGCAAATATTCATTTGCTCAATTAGTAATTTACTTCCTTTCAAAACACATCAAATTCAATTTTGTTTTGCTTTTCTCTTTCCCCAGTCAAGAAAATAATAATCAAAAGGCCTCAGAAAATTTAACCTATGGATTTTCAAGAGGAAAAGACTTTGAGTTAAGAAGGGGTTTAGAGCATTGTTTTCCAAGGGAATTCAGAGGGGGACTTGGAAAAAATTTGACTTTGGGAGGTATTTGACTTGAAGGGGGTATCAAGGTTCAATTGTCTAAATAATATTTTTGAACAAACATATGCATGACAAACAAAAACCATGCCAACAAAACTGTTGTTTTTATCGTGTTTTTCAAATTTAGTCAGTTATTTTCTTTGAAAGAAGTCAATTTATCAAGCTCTGCATGTCACTCAAATTAAATGTTAAGCTCTCAAAGAGAGGTCCAGATTTGAGTTTGTTCCAATGCCAATGGAGGACAAGTTTTGGTCTTTGCCAAAACTCATCCTTGAAAGCTTCTGTAAAAATCAGGTTTCACCCCAACACCCACAATAAGGGAGAAATATGGAACCACCAATGGTCATAAACTTTGTATCTTTAGAAACGAAAAATGGTCAAGCAATGGAAACTTAATATCAAAGGTCATATTGACTGGAATAGTCCATATCCTTGAGGGATAGTTTTCCTTAAACTTACCCCATTTTTTCAATCACATCTTCCTTCAACTTGACAGAAACAAGAACTTGCAAGTGTTCAAGTGCTGTCAAAAATTCTAAGCCTCTGAACGGGCATATAGACTTGTACAAGTGGTACCTTGCAATTTGACTGTCCTACAATTTACCAGTCAAATTTGCAGGGAGGTTGACTTGCAATTTGACCCCTGCCCTCTGTAATTTGACCTGCTTTGGCAACTATTGTTTTTTGCATTTTTGTACTTATACTTTTGAATTTTATGGAGTGTCTCGCAATTCCACCAATTTGCAATTGAACCCTAGTTTGTCAATGCATTAGGGTTGAATTGTACGTTACCACCTGTACTACAGTACAGTATTTGTTTTTAGAATAAGACCAAGCTTAAACTAGGGTGAGAGAACACCGCGGTTGCAGCCCAACTGATCAATGTGTTTCATTTAAAAATATTTCTTATCTACTAAATTATCCTTTTCAGTGTGTCAACTTTCAGCATGCATTAATTATTTAAAATAAAAAATTAAAGTTGAAGTGTTTTTGGCGTGGTTTAATTTGGAAACACGTTATCTATTGTACAGCATTCATTTATTAGATTTAAAGAAACCCATTTTTCTCAAGTTTCAAAAGCGTGGATTTATTCGACTTTGATTGAATTTAATCAATATGTGTCAGTCAGTGGAAGCAGCAAATTTTCTTGCGATTAACCGTAAATCAAATGTGCATCTTCATACACTTCTAGGTGTAATTGTTCAGCCATATTTGCACTGCGCCAAAAACTGCTTGAGGTATAAGATACTTTTCCTTGAAAATAAGCTTTTTGGGTGCAGTACTTTACTGTACTTTTTTTTGCATAAAAAACTGCATTCTTCAAAAATGTGTTTCAAAGGAGACATTCACTGAGCTTTTCCAGCCTTTTTGAATCTGTCAAAATTGCCGTGGGGGAAAAATGTTCACGGTTTTCACATCAGGAGCAAGAATGGAGAAGCAGTTATCGAACTCAAAGAAACTTTCGAGAAATTCGAAAAGAAAAAAAAGTTCCAAGAGTTCCACGACGATTTTGAATATCTCGATTGATTTTTTTCTCTCCAGAAATTGCTGGAAAAGAAAGTTCGAGAATTTTTTATATTTCGAAGGAAAATCACTTTCCGCAGAGAGAAACATAGAAACGAATGCCAGAAATCTTGTCATTCGAAGTGCATAAAAAATTCGAAGAAACACGAAAACTCTTTTCGGTTTCGCTTTTTGAAGGCCAGCACTCATCATACCGTTATAATACCGTACTTTTTCCCGCCCTTCGAATTTATCAATAAAACCAGGCACTTTTTTTTCTACATGAAACAGGTGTTATTCATAAATGTTTCAAGAAGTGTAGAAATATAAAATAATGGATTTCTGAACATCAGGAATATAACGGGGTTCCGTATCATTCTTGCTGTCAATAAATTGTTGGTCTTATATGCTTTGAATTTGTTCCGAATATTCTTGAAAAGTCATCACATTCCTTCGCGTCCAGGGCAATAGTAAAAAAACTAATAAACCTAGAGGTTAAATCTTTTTCAATTTCTTAATTCTCCTTTCATCCGCCATCTTAGCAGTTGATATAAAAATCGCGCTCTGGAACAAGTTCGTATATTTTGTCTCTTTTAATTAAAAAAAAAATATCTTTTCTCTTGTGCTGAACATGTTTTATTTTTAATGATGATGGGGATGTTAACAACGCATTCCACACTCGGGTTGTTGCTGGATTTATCGATGGATTTAAAATGATGCTTTATTTTACTGCTGCCCTGAAGGTATGCGAGATTGAGTTGGTTGCGCAATTTTCAATATTTTCTCATCGTGATGGAGTTTCTCTGAATCGATTGTCGTCGACCTCGGATGAAAACGATGATGATGATGATAAAGAAGTGATGATTGATGCGGTGAAAGTAATTTCTTATCCCCGGTCTGTGTTTGTTTAATTAGAGCCGAAGCAACCGAGTTCGTTGTTGTTGTTGTTTGTTTTCTTCGGGATAGTCTTGTTGGTTTTTTTTCTCATGTATCTGGAAAAAAAAATATCTTGCGCCGGATCTTTGCGGTAATTTTTCCCCAGTATTTAATTGTCAACATATTTTCCCGTATAATTCAATGTCAGAAGCAATTGCGAAATAATTGGTGGGCTGGTCTAGGTTCTTTTTTTTTTTTGTGTGTGTGTGTTTCTCTTCTTGGTCCTGGGAGGCAAACCTCATTTCCGTCCGGTAATTCAGGTCTAGGATTTCGAAATTCTTGTTTTGTACCTGAGGGAGAGGGAGGAGATAATTGTCTTGTTTTGGAATTTTCCTTTTTTTATATATCCCATATTTTTGAAAAATTTTATGCGCCATGCTTGAAGTTCAAGGACTGCGTGGAGAAAAATCGTTAAGGTTTTTTTTTTTCTGCGGGAGGGAAGAGAAGAATATAACATTCTTGTTCTTTTGATGAGTTGAAAACTTTATTTGAAATGTCCAATCGTCTGGGTTTCATTTGAATTATATCGACGATTTACGTGAGACATTATTGCTTGGATGTAAAATGAAGGTATCGTGATCATTGTCAGAAATGACCTCGGAAAAATCCCGGCATGATTTAAAAAAGCTGGAATATTGTTCACTATTTTCTGAGCATAAAAGTGAAGCGAAAGTTGTTCGCGTGTTCGAAATGCCCTGATGTTTACAGATTACTGTACTATATTTATTGGTTCTTGAGGCTGCTTTTCATCAAGTTGAAATGTGACTTTGTCTGTTCTTTGGAAACAAATTATGCGTTTGATTGTTGCGGAGATTTGTGGATTGATGTGATTGTGTCGCTATTTTATAAAGAAAAGGAAAGCAGGATCGGAATAATAATTTTTATGATGATCATTTGCCTGCTGTTTCGATTTTTGCTGGAATTACTGAGTCGTCTGAATCATTTTTTCAGTTGCTATCTCGAATTTTGAGAGGGGGTTTTATTTTTGCGACGAAACTGTACCTTGAAAACGTTTTTATCCTATGAGTTTCGGTTATTATTTTTCCTTGATTATTTTTTCAATTTCTTTTATTATGATCTATTTTTTCATTGAAATTTCAGCTGGATTTGAGTTGATTTTGAGTTGTCGTTAAGTTGAGTCAGAATCTGTGGAGTTTTATTGGAGTTAATCATAGCTCAACTTTTACGCGTCTCATTGAAGATATTATTTTTTAATTATTTTTGGAATACGACATCTAGAAATCTTATCGCCTATCGTCATTCAGATGTTGGCAATTATATATATTTTTTTAATTGATTAAATCAGCTTGAGTTGATTGAGCAACTTTCGGTGAAAATAACGGCGAGTAGCCACGAACCTGGGATTGAATATAAATGCAGTCGTTTTGCGGAACTTATTTCAGAAGTTACCAGTACTTATGCAAGGATGCAAAGCGAACCAGATAATTAAAAATATTCGTTGAGCAAGTATCGGATCCCTTGGTTTCCCGTTTTGAACAATAATATAATATTTCAGTATTTTAGGAGCATATTTGATCAGTTTTTTTTTTTTCAAAGAAGGCGGCTGTTTTCCAGAGGAATTTTTTGAAAGAGATATGTGAGGATTTTAGTGCTGTATAGCAAGAAATAAAATCGTGAGAAAACTTGCTCATATATCTAGGAATGTGTTTAAATTCAAAAATTTTTTTTTTAAAGTTCATGTTTGTCGGCTAGCCGCACAAATTCCAATTGATATACCAAAGGTGATTATCTCAAAATCTATAAACCAGAATTTATGCTCCAGTGAAACCTATTTCAATTCAATTTTAATGTTTTTTAATTATAATTCTCGCTGGAATGCGTGATTGCAAGTGTAACGCCGGGAGCGAAAGTCTCGCCTTCGAAAAAAATTTGCCCAATGCGTGGAAAAAATCCTGCTTCCCAGGATTTTCTTTGCTGAAATCTTGAACTTCGAATGGAATTTCTCCACGAATAATATACTTATAATTATATTTATAATTTCTTCGTGGAAAAATTCCATTCGAAGTTCAAGATCTCAGGAAAGGAAATCCTGGGAAGCAGGATTTTTTCCACGAAGAAATTATACTTGAACTTTATGGCGTTTGAATTTTCGGTTAAAAAAAAAGGCATCATGACTCAAAATTGAAGCATGAACAAGTTTTTGAATCAGAGTAAGTGTCCAATTTAATTTTTATTTGAAAAATTCCTGCCGAGTGAAGAGTGAAATCAACTTTCCTAGATCCGTCATTTATAAGACGTTTTCAATTTGTCTTCTTTTTGATAGTTGATGAGCAATTTTGCCAGTTACATTATGATTTTTTTTATGGTTAATCATTTTTTGGCGTGTATCTGCTTTTTAATCTCTTTTGAGTTGTTTCTATATTTTTTGGTGGATCTTTTTTGGAGATGGCTTTTATTTTTTTGGAAGATATATAGGCTTTTGTGGAATTTATTCTGAAAATTTGACTATTGGTGGAGAAAATGTCGAAATTATAGAATTGCCAATGGACGAAAATGTACAAGGATAGATGTTGCAAATATACCAACATCGTTTTAAATTTGTCTTCTTTTTGATAGTTGATACAGCCCATGATAAAAAATAAATACAGTTGGACTTTCTCTACAACGATTTTGTCTACAGCGAATTTCTCGACTGTACAACGAATTTTTGCTTGGTCTGATTGGGTTCTCCGCCCATCTCTACAACGAAATACTCTTTCGGCGAATTTTTTCTGTTCTCTTGAATTTCGTTGTCAAGAGACCTGATTTTGGCCCAACTTTTTTTTGGCCTCTACATGAATTAAATTCCTTTTCAGCGATGAAAAACCAATCACTTTTTATTGAAAGTTTGCCCTGCGACGGAATTCTCGCGTATTTTCAGCCCTCGCAAGTTTGAAAATTATTTTGCGTAAAATAACCGTAATTTTCTCAATTCACGATGTATTTCTTCGGGTTGAATTTTCATGCATAGTGTATTTACTCTTTATTTTTTGTTTAATGGGAGTCAGGTAAAAATTCTTGAAAACAAGAATCAAATCGCTTTTTTCCCAAAAAATTTCTCTGACGCTATTTTGAGTATCCATGTACGAAAATGGCAATATATTTATGTCGACGCGAAAAAAAAATAGCGATATAATTCGTTCCTGTCATATCAAATTTGAGAGGTTATCGGGATGTAATTTTTTTCTTCTTCTGAGAAGCCAGAGGAATCCGAAAGAAACCTTGAATGATGATGCCATGACCTGGTTCTGAGCAGGAGGAAAATACCCGTGAGGGAAGAAAATCTTCTAGGGCTTTTGTGATTCTGCATGGGTCACGTTTCCGTGACAAAAATCGGAGCTTGTGAAAGAGAATCACCCCCTTTTTTTCCCCCCTTTCCATTGCTCATGTATTGTCCAGACTGGGAACATAACTCATTCCTTCGTTTCGAAACGACTTGGAAGATGACGATTATAAAAAAAAAACGTGCATATACATAAAAAAACGACAACACGTCTTTGTATTTATCCCTTTTACTACCTTTTAACTCGGCACTTCCATAATAAAAAGTAGCGTCAAACTGTACGCCTTTTACTAATACGTTCGGTTGTGTACTTGAACAATGCCGAGGGAAGATTTTCTTTCTAGAATTACGGGTCCCTTCCAAAAAAAAAAAGGTTTTTCTTTCTGTGGCTCCTTGTGTAGTTGAAGACATGTTTATTTCGTTCACCCATGGAATATTTTTTTTTTGAAATCATTTCAACGGATCTCGTGCAAGACTCACCATTTTCATTCTATCGATATTTAACAATATTTCCGGAGTTATAAATTTTCTTCTTCTTATTCAATCGCTCCACGTCGAAGGAAAAAATGACAGTGTCGGCATGTGCCAAATCGTATTAATTTTTTGAATACGCAAGAGTGTAGTCTTCATGCTATATTTTCGTCTTCCTCCTTTTTGAAGCAGCATCAATTGATTTTGACTATAGATGACAATTCAGTGAAATAGTCTACTTGAATTTTTTGAGAAAAATCTATTTGTTATTGAAAGTCCAAGTCCCGTTTTTTCATTTTTTTTCGATTGAAAGTCAAATGCATGCGCATTTTTGAATGGAAGATTTTCTTGAAATGGGATTGAATTCAGTGGAGTACTATTCATATATTTTTTTACTTGAGTTCTCTCGTGAACGTCTTCAGGAATAGTTTTAATTTTTAGTATATTTCCTACGCCGCAGCGATTTATGTGTAAATTTTTTAAAAGAATATTTCAGGAATGCCCTCCGGCCTTTCCTAAAAATGTGATGACCTTTTTCGTGGACTGTTTGTGCCGAAAGAAAAGGATTTCCGTCCGCTCAAAATATTTGCTATTCCGAGGGGCTTTCGTCGTATTTGAAAAAAATTATCTCCATTTTTTTTCATAACCTCGGTTATATTCTTCTGGTCCTCTCATATTAACTCAAGATGTGAAAGGTGAAAAATAAATCCACAATCGCCGAGTGTCAAGTTTTGGTAAACCGTGATCCCATTTTTTTTTTTTCAAGGTTGGAAAGTCGCGTGGTTGACTTCGATGCAATTTCATTCACCCGCAGAAAAGGGTAGCCATTGCGAAACGCATTAAAATTGACCTTGAAAACGGGTTACATGCATTTTCAGTACTTGCCCACAAGCATATCAACTCCGAAGTAGAAGGGATTGATTGTGAAATCAATTTCTTTATTCTATTTCTTTCGGGATGCCGGTGGACAATTACTCATGAATGCGTTGCATATTTTTAATGCCCTGGGGAAAACAAAACGTCATTGTCGGGAAAGTTTAAGCTCGAGCTGTTTTGTTGAATTGCTGAAGCAAAAAATAAAAAAAAAAAAAAAATAAACGGTCCAAAGAGGTCGTGAACATTTTTGATGGAGAATATGTGCAGGAGAAGGCCCTAAGTAGACGTCTAGATTTTTTTCCGTCGTGAAATATTTATAGAAATGCGTTCGAGTGTTTTTCTGCAGTCCGAAAAATTTAATTTCCCAGTGGAATATTCGAGCGAAGTTTTTGCCAAAATTGTGTTTCGGAGAACGGGACTTTGTTAAGAGGCACGCGATTTAAGGTCACATAACAATTTCTGATTTTGCCGCAAACAAATTATCTTTTGAAAAATTCGTTTGGCTGTTTTTTTTTCAAGTCGGGTATTTGAAAAAATATGTGTTGAATTTGTTTCAGCAGTCCGAAGAATTTTATTGCTCAGGGAATATTCGAGCGAAATTTTCTGCCAAAATTGTGTTTGAGAACGGGACTGCTGTGTTAGAGACATGCGATTTGAGGTCACATAACAATTTATGATTTTTCCGCAAAAAAATTATCTTTCGAAAAATTCGTTTGGCTGTTTTCTTTAAGTCGGGTATTTGAAAAAATATGTGTTGAATTTGTGTCTGCAGTCCGAAGAATTTTAGTACACAGGGAATATTCGAGCGAAGTTTCTGCCAAAATTGTGTTTGAGAACGGGACTGTGTTAGAAACGCGCGATTTAAGGTCACGGGCCAATTGCAGATTTTTTTTTTCGCAAGCTAGATTATCTTTAAAATAATTTTGCGTTGCTGTTTTCTGTGAAGCCAGGTATTTTCTCAAACCGTTCTAATTTAAAGTTCATGCTGGAAGTTTTCCTGAAGCCTGGGATTTTGTTGTTGAAAAATTTGAAGCGCACTCAACTTGAAATTGAAATTTTTTAAAAATTATAATTTCGAATTCGAAGTGGAATATTTTGTTCGAGTTCACCCAAAAAATTGAAAATTTATCCTGCGCGTGTGACTGATTTAGATTAAAATTTGAAAAGTCAGAGCATGGGTTGTTTGTTAATCTTCGAGAAAAAAAATTACCGCTGCAGGTTTTTCGATTATTTTCCTCCGATAATCAAAAAATTCAAAAGAAATTTTCCCTCAAAGAACAATTTTTTTCTCTGGAAAAATCCGTCTTTGATGATGTGCATCCCAATTGATTCACGTGAAAGGACTGCGAAAATTTCGCGTTCAAGTACCTCACGCATTTTTCGCATTCCTCGAAGACTGACGTAAACCAGATTCCTGAGGCGAAAATGCCAATTTCCACTGAACATAAAAAAAACTTCTTCCTGCAGCCCGGATTTGAATAAATGCAATCATTTTTCACCTCACCTTGATGATCGTGTGGAGAAAGTACGTGCTTAATTATCACCCGGAAGAGAAATATAGCCCCGAAATCCTTGCCCTTCGAGACATGACCGCTAATGACGGCGATTAAAGGCAGCCTCGGAAATTATCCATCAAGTCCCGTCGTAAAGAACAAACAAGAAAAAACCGTGGGGTATGAACCCTTTTTTTAAATAAATTTTTTTGGTACCCCAGAAGATAAATAATTCTCTGCAAAATAATTCTTTTCCGTGACGCAATTTTTGGAACATGTCCTGGTTCCTAATAATGCCGAATCATTGTGATTTCCGAACTGAAGGAGGTTTTGAATGGATGATTGATCGGAGTGATCATGGTTTTGTTCTCGCAAGAAAAACTGTTGTTGTCACGAGAATAAGAGGCGGGTTTGTTTGAAAATTGTTATATTGTTTTAAAAAAAAAAATCCTGAGCTCGTCACTATAATGAGTCGCATGATTAATGATGTTGATGGATTTTGTGTGATCGAGGGTCTCTTTGAGATGGAGTGTGTTGACGGATGTTTTTAAAGGTTCGACGTTGCTTATGAAGAAGCGAAAAAATGTTGTTCAGTTCTGTGATCCAGGATTGAAACTTTTTTTTTTCGTCTTTCTTCTTGAGGCTATAATCTATCAACATTTCTGTACCACTGATTATGCAATCCTTAGGAGTGCAGTTTTTTTCCATGGCTTAGAATACTGCTTTTTTTTCAAGTACCCTAGACTTGATCGTGAGTTTTTTTTCCTTTTCATGATGGAGATTGACGTACTAAAATTTTGAATACATCATAATTCCCCAGGTTTATTTTTTTTTACAACCAAGTTGAAACAGACGCACAAAATTTGTGGTTTTTTCCCATAAATCTTGTCGGTATCGTATTATCAGTCGTTAATTCTTTCTCTTAATCAATCTGAAGAAGTATATTTTTACGGAGACTTTCTGACGATTCAACCTTTCCGCTGTTCCAATTTTTTTTCCGCCCAGTTGCGATAAAGAGATTGGTTTAAGAGCTCCACCATTATTCGCATTTTTAAATAACATCTTTTTTTTAAATATTCCAGTTCTGAAAAAGTGTGATCCTCAAAGTGAAGTTCGATCTTAAAATTGAAGATATGAATTTTTATGCAAGACGTTGACCATTTTGTGCTCAGATTTTGTTGATGGCGAATCATTGAATAATCTTTTTTTAATTGCGAAATAATGATTCAGGAAAAACTATAGAATAAAGGTTACGTTTTATGAAAAAGTAGCAGAAGTTATCAGATGAATTATCAATATTCAGTTGTTCAGTTGATCTCTGCGTCTTCATGAATATTCTCTCTCTGAAAGGCTGAGAATTAACTTGGGGTTTTGCTGTAAATATTTTTCTTTTTAATCCATTGCCTTAATGAAGAATTTATCCACCGATAAATTTAAGCCACTTCAGTTTTCGAGACAATTCACGGCGATGATTGAAGGAATAATTTGCAAACAATTAGAAGACATTTTTTTCAAATATTTCTTCGAGCCTCTTTTTTTTGCTGTTCAAATGCTTGTTGCCGGAATTTTTAGCAATGTTTCAAGTTTTGGGAACTTGAACTTCGTCATTATCCACTCGACACAAACCTTGAAATTGTCAAGGCCTTTTTGCGTGTCAGTCAAAAACTTTACGCGGTGTTTCCCGTGGTTTTTACGTCTAACAAGGCAATAATAAACCTGGAAGATTTGTTTGGAAAAAAAAGAAAACTTAGACTCGTTGATTTGTATCTTTTCGTTTTTTTATGACTGGTCGCAACGGAGGTTGCTACTCAAATGGAATTCGTCAAGTACAGCTTTTACTCGCATCTCTTTTTGTTTTTATTATCTGCGATCAAAATCCGATGAGAACTTTGCGTGCGTTTCTCTCATTCGTAAAAAAAAAATGAAGCATTCTCTCGAAGGAAAACAATGAAATAAAACAGACAGGCAAGGAAATTGATAACAAGCTTCTTAATTGTAATTGCGTAGCTGGAAAGGACAACCCTTTCTCATCTGGGATCCTTGAACCAGGGCAGTGACACCTGATGGCACGTGCTTGAGATGCCTTCGACTCACCTACGATAAATATATATACTGTACATATATTTTTTTTTCTATTTTTTTTGTTGATGGTTCAATAGTATTTTATTTCCCCTAAATGCTTTTCTGGGGTGTGGACATGTTGCGTGTGCTGTCTTATTGTCTTTGTCTTGTGGTGGTCGTAATGGGATCAACATCCGGGTTTCCACGGGTTTCTGGTCGGTTTGGTAATGGCATTTTTTTCTTTTCTTCGGGGCGATAATTATCCATTTCTGTGAGGAAATGAGTTCCGGGGACGGTGGGTTAATGGATTTTTATTTTTTGAGGGGTTATTTATGGAGCAAGGCATCTTCTCTGATTTTTATGCAGGTAATGTAATGCGTTATTGCTCATTTGCGCATGATTTATATCAACTTTTTCTTTTTTTTTCTACTCACCCGAAAAAATAATCCGACAACCTGCGCGTTTTTTTTTCTCTCGAACATTCTATACGGTACAGTTTGTTTTCTTGCTTATAATCCGCTTTAAACGGTGTTTCAGAAGGCGTGAGATCAGTTGTAACCTGAAATATTCGAGCTGTGACGTAGAAAGCTAAATTTACTGAAAGTTCGTGTAATTTATTGTTGGATAACGTCAAGTTTTTTGCGTTTAAATTTGTTGATATGAATACCATGAGCATTTGAATTTTTAAAAATCTCGGAAAAAAAGAATTGGTCGCTTACTTTTTCGTGGGATTTAAACACAGTACTGTAGTTCCTATACAAATGTCGTCATAGTTATTAGTGGCTTTGAATGATTGGTGAATAATGTGATTGATGTCTAAAAGGCACAGTATTTTGAAAAGATTTGTGCGAGCCTGGTTAGGTTTGATCAATTTTTCGCAGTATTCTTTGTCCACTGGGATTTTCGAGAAAAAAAAGGAATCGTACTCACGGAATGTTTCTATTGTTGTTTTCTACACATTTTTTAATTTTTCGGAAATAGAAAATTAAGGGATGGAATGTGTGGATTACAATTTTTTAAACCAGTTGAATAATTTTTTTTGACATCATGGACGTTCGAAAACTTTCCTGTTATCACATGTTTGGCATGCAGTCTCTTCCAAAATAGAAGATTTCTCTATTTGAAAAACAGGTATTTCACAGTTTGTATAGGGTTTCATTCTTCATCGAGATTCTGCTTCGGGAATAGGACAGCATATTTCGCGTTGGGGTTTTTTTGCATTCTCATTGTATTCTTGGTTTTTTTTTCGCAGAATTCTTTGGAACTCTTGGATTTTCAAAAAGAAAAACGTTTGCTCATGAAATATTCATCCTGTTGCTTTTAAGAATTTTAACTCATTTTTGTTTCCTTTTAAAGTTGAAAATCAAGGGATCTAATGTTTGAAGTGCAATTTTTTTTTACACCAGAAAAATTATTTTCTTTCTGCATCGAAAGCGTTTGAAAACTTTTCTGTTTTCATATGTTTCGCATGCAGTCTCATTCAATGAAGAGTTCTCTATTCGGAAACCTGCTACTATATTTTACAGTTTGCAAAAAGGGTTGCATTCTTCATGGAAATTCTGCTTCGGAAATGGGAAAAATATTTTGCATTTGGGTGTCGTATTTTTCGGTTTTATTCATTTATAGCTGTATTCGTAATTCCCGGATTTTTTAGGAAAAAAAGGAATACTGTATTTCTAATGTAGCTTACAAGCCATTTTTCTTTGGAAGTGGAAAATCAAAGGATGAAATTTGTTTTTTTGTTTATTTGGCAACTATTGTTAAATTCATCAAGAACATTTACAATACAGTACAGTAAGTCCACTACTGTAATGTATTTTAAAATATGTGTGGGGTTGCATTCTTCATGAATATTCTGCTTCGGAAATGCGAAGAAATATTCTTCAGTGCGTCAAGGGTGAAATACGAAACCTATTCCGAAATGCATTGTTGAAAAGAAAGAAGTTGTTTGTGCTTTTGTTTTTCTTTCTTCTTCGGTCAGGGGACATCATGGTTATTTGAGAAGAACCCGATTGTTTTCAGATTCCTCGGCTTCGTCAGGTCTTATGTTGTTCCTCTACAAGAAAAAAAGAAGGAAGATTAAAATGATTTCACTCGCACACAAAAAAAAAAGAAAATAAAAGCTTCAGCAGGGGGCCAATTTTCTGGCCTTTTGTTATTTGCGTTGCCTCAGACTGTGGCGAATTTCGGCTCGACTTCGAAGATGCTGGGAAGATGTTTCGCATCTTCTCCATTCTTTTCTTTCGATGGTCTTCGCATTATCATCAGTATAAAAAATTTATTTTTTGACGCGTCAGTAGTTGAGTGGCTTTGATGAAGACTGTGCCTGAGGCATCCAGTTCTCTGGATGTGCTCGTTAGAATAATGTCTGTGAATTCCCTTCCCCTCCCTCCGATTTCTGGGCGTTTTCCTGGCATTCTTTTTTTTTGTTTATTTCATTTTCCACAATCCGCCCGTTTCCAGATGGCAGACAGGAGCAGGGAATTGATGGAAGCTGGGGATCTGTGATAATCAAAGCGAGGGTTCAAGGGAAGTTGTGGCTAAAAGAAACGGAATATAAGAGGGAATAAAAATAATCTGATGTCGGTTGAGGGTCCTTGGGCGTGGTCGCCTTCCTCAGCCGCTGGATGAATTAAAGTTCTTTTTCCTGGTTTTATATTTTATTATTTTTATAGATTTTGGTATGTTACTTTTTTTGCTGCTTGTGTGTGGAAGGAAAAGAGATTACTAGGCACCGGAACGCTTTTTATTTGTTTTACTTTCAAGGCCTTGTGCGCTTTGCTTGTATTATATGGCTGCTACTGACCGTTCTGGAATCCAGTTTCTCTTATACAGACTGCTTTCGTTGTTGATTCACTTCAATTTTATTTTTTACTTTATCCCTGGAGGAAATACTGTGCTGAGCTGTGTTGAGGAATTTGGTGGCAAGAATGCCAGTGGGACCTGAAAAATCGGTTGCTGTAACAAAAATTTCCTTAAATACAATAAAACCTTGATGAGGTTTAATGGTATTCAAGTCAATAATTTTAAACTGCCATCATTTTTCCTGGCACATTTTGTGGAACTATGTGTGAGAGATAGGGTTAGTTGAGGGTTTCCACTCTGTAGGGAGAATGACTGCCTCCCATCATGTTGATTCACTTCAATTTTTTTTTACCCCTGGGGAGATACTGTGCTGTGGAATTTGGTTACAAGAATATCAATGGGACCTGAAAAGGATTTTTTAATGATAAAAATTGCCTTGAATAAAACCAATCCTCATGAGCTTTGATATGGTATTTAAGTCAAAATTGTTTTACCTGTCATCATTTTTCCTGGCACATGTTTTGGCACTATTTATGAGAGAAAGGGTCAGTTGAGGGTTTCCACTGTAGGCAGAATAGGCAGAATGACTTCCTCCCTTGTGGATTCTATTCAAATTTTTTTTACCCCTGGGGAAATATTGTGCTGTGGAATTTTGATATAATAATGCCATTGGGATGATAAAAAGCATTTTTTAATGGCAAAACTTTGCCTTGAATTTTAGCAAACCTTGATGAGGCTTTATTGTATTCAAGTCAATTTGTTTTACTGCCATCATTTCTCCTGGGACATTTTGTGGCACTAAGCAAGGGTGGCACCATGTTCAGGATAATGCATGACAAGATGGTCAACTTTAAAGTTTCCACTGTAGGCAAACTATGCTTTTTACAGAATTTTTAGGGAACTTTAGTCTCTTTTTTGAGAGAGGAAGCCAAAAAATAATAATTTGAAGGTCAAATGTATTGTTCATGTACTGCATTTCAGAACATTTAAAAAGGCAGATTACAGTAGATTTTTGTAGTTATTCTGCTCATACAAATATCAGATCTGTTTGTTGAAGTTTTCTCAGCTTCATTCTTATATCAATCACCAACATGCTGGGGGCACTTATAATTCAAGGAAAGTTCCCACTTGCATTCACAAAATTTTCAGTAAAGGTTGGTGTCACGCAACAACAAAAGTAGTTCTCAACAATTTGAAGTCAGGAACAGAATGCTCAAAATTACCCGAGTTTTTTTTGTGAGCATATAGGCATGTCACTATTCTCAATAATATCATTATGATATGCATGTAAAAGCCTTAGTTTCTTTGATTTTGATTTCTTTCCAGAACACAATGGAGGGAGATTCATTCCACAAATTTGTGACACTATGCAAATGAGCACAAAATTGAAAGCTGAGTATACAGTGTAGAAAGCAATGTACTGTACTCCTGGAGTCAAGCTCAAAGGGGAAGTCTGTGGGACACAGAAATAAAATAAATACTTGAGGATTTTTTGAATCAGGGGAGGAAGCATTTTTTCTAGGAATGAAGGGTTAATTACAAATGGTTGATATTGGTAATACAGGTGCTACCCTTCAATTCAACCCTGATCCATTGCTGAACTAGGGTCAAATGAGTCAAATTGCAACACAAAGGGATTTTAGGTTTTTTAACTACACGTTTTTGCGTTTTTTTACCGGTTTCGACCAACTTAAAACCCCGTTCCCAGTTTAACGTTTAAACTTACAACAACCCGTACGTACGACACATGTCATTGTAACTGGTACACTAAATAATTCCTAGTAATAAAAAGTATTCCCCCTCCTCAAAAGCACAGTGCCAGGAACATCCTGGCACCACAGCATATTTGATGTTAGCTTTATTGCTTTGATTGTAACAGTAAAACCTAGTGAAGGTTGAATATTATTAGTAGTACATAAGCTGTTTCTTTCTCATAAATAAATCAGAATCGGTTCAGTTCATCTGTGTTATTCAAGTTATCCAAGTTACTCCTGCAAGTCAAGCTCATTGAGTGGTTTATTCATGTCTTTGTGAAATACACTTTATCCCTTTTTAAACTAGAGAATTCTTATGGAATCCCGGTCCTGTCCCACTGACTAATTGCACAAAATAAATTTAGAACTATCGTGGGTTGTAGTTTAATATAACTTCTGTAAACAGGAGTTAGTTACAACTTAAAGTCCAAACGACCTTCAGTTTGACGTTCCATAATGGACATATCTGGAACTTGAACTGTTGAATAAATGAGTTTATGCGTGATGCAGAAGCTTTTAGGAAGGTGTATATTTTCCCAAATTGTCACTCACTTCCTTTTCAAAAGCATCAAGTTACAGTTTTATTGTTCTTTTTTTTGCCTGTCCCCAGAAGCACAAAGGCCTTTCAAAATTCGTGTTCTGGTGGTTTGATGGAGGAAGTCCTTCAGTTAGGGAGTTTTAAATTACAGTAAATTTTCCGATGGGAAATGAGAGACAGGCACTGATCATAAATTGAACATAAAAAGGTTCAACTTGGGAAGTTACAGCATTAGCATAGGGACTATACTTCGGGAACTTTTGAAAATGTATTCATAATAAAAAAAAAAAAAATTGAGGATGCAATTGATATTCTCAGCATCCCTCAACAATTCATAAACGCGGACGACAAAAGAATCGGCAATTTCCCCCGAGTGTATGCAAACAAATATTTCATGATACATGACGTTCCAGTACTTTTGATGCATGATGACGTAGACTTTTAATTTGGCTTGAGGAGATTAGCTATTTTTTTAGCCCCTCCCCCGGGGGTTGCGAAATAATTCATCCGATGACGTGAATTGCTTTCTTAATTGCCTCGACTATCGTGCAGTTGCGATATTCGAATTTTAATGCGGGTTAGACCGTAATGTTTTACAAATGACAGGGATAAAATCTAATTCAGAGGCTGTGTCCGAGGTTCGAGCATGGGTTTAATTGTTTTGATGCTCGCACCAAGAGGTACTTGAAGCAGCTCGGAGGAATCTGCATTTTATGGGCCATAATCACGCGATGATTTTGCCCTTGGAAGAAAAGTTTTTCACACGCATACATTCCGTAATACCTTGGTACTTTGCTCGCACCAAGAGGTACTTGAAGCAGCTCGGAGGAATCTGCATTTTATGGGCCATAATCACGCGATGATTTTGCCCTTGGAAGAAAAGTTTTTCACACGCATACATTCCGTAATACCTTGGTACTCGTGTGCGCAGGTGTTTTATTGCTTTATGAGGGTTCAGCTTCATTAAGGATACCTCATGCAATTCTCAGTTTATATTTGTTCGGGTTCACGCTTTTGTCTGGCGATTATTTTTGAATTATGTCTCCTTACTCGAGTTTAGAGATTTGAAGTATTCGTATTCACCAGTACTGTAAAATTTTTTGAAAGTGAAATTCATCTATTTCATTTTGAATTCCGCATCTTCCCATTATAAAGAAAATACTGTACTGTACTCGTGAAAAATTCCTAGTTTTTCAGGCAATTCGCTGATCTGACCTCTGCAGAATTTTTCTCTCAAGTTCGATTCCAAGAAAATTTTTTTGTTTGTCATTCAGCTTTCATTTGCGCTTCAATTACGTTTTTACTATTTACCTTAGTAAGGGGAAAAGCCAATAAAGGCTTTAACCATTGCTCGCACCAAGAGGTACTTGAAGCAGCTCGGAGGAATCTGCATTTTATGGGCCATAATCACGCGATGATTTTGCCCTTGGAAGAAAAGTTTTTCACACGCATACATTCCGTAATACCTTGGTACTTGTGCGCGCAGGTGTTTTATTGCTTTATGAGGGTTCAGCTTCATTAAGGATACCTCATGCAATTCTCAGTTTATATTTGTTCAGGTTCACGCTTTTGTCTGGCGATTATTTTTGAATTATGTCTCCTTACTCGAGTTTAGAGATTTGAAGTACTGTATTCGTAATCACCAGTACTGTAGAATTTTTTGAAAGTGAAATTCATCTATTCTATTTTGAATTCCGCATCTTCCCATTATAAAGAAAATACTGTACTGTACTCGTGAAAAATTCCTAGTTTTTCAGGCAATTCGCTGATCTGACCTCTGCAGAATTTTTCTCTCAAGTTCGATTCCAAGAAAATTTTTTTGTTTGTCATTCAGCTTTCATTTGCGCTTCAATTACGTTTTTACTATTTACCTTAGTAAGGGGAAAAGCCAATAAAGGCTTTAACCATTACAGGAAAAGCCAATAAAGGCTTTAACCATTACAGGAAAAGCCAATAAAGGCTTTAAACATTACATTAACAGTACCTTGGTGAGGGTACTGTTAATGTACATCCATCTCATGTATATCATCTATTTAATGAAAACCATTAACTGTTATTGCGAGAGGTCCCGGGTTCAAATCCCCCAATGAGCCCCCAATAACAGATAATGGTTTTTGTTAAATACATGATATACATGAGATGGTTGGATAAAGGCAGAGGGTACTGTTAATGTAATGTTTAAAGCCTTTATTGGCTTTTCCCCTTTCTCATTCAATATTTAATATGTTATATTAGTATTTTCTGGAATAGACAGAACTTGAAGTTCGCAGTATTTCTGCCAAGGAAAGAGCTGCAGGAAATCCATCATTCGAGCATTGTACATATTCAACATGTGAAGGAATTGGAACAAATCGATGAAAAAGAGTGGGAAATCAGCAAGAATCACAGTACAACTTTCCGAATTATTCGGGCAAAATGTAGCCGGTATTCCAGATCGCAAAATGATAAGTATTCGTGGAATATTGTCAAAGAAATGTTTTATGGAAAAAGTTTCGAAAAATGAGGGCTGATGTGGATTTTTGCGCATATTTGTTGTTGCTGAAAATCAGCGACCGGTGCAACCGTTAATAATTCAAGGTTACTGATGCGGGATTTTTTGAAAATGAATTCTAAAAATGTGCAGATTTTTTTCTCTCGTCCGTTTCTCTTATAATTTTCGCTTCGCAAAAAACAAAACAATACTAACGTATTTTGGCTTCATGATTGAATGCCGATGGTAATTTTCTCGTTTTGAAGTAGCAGTGAGACCCCCACACGCGGACATCTTGACATGCGGACAATTCGACATGGGGACAGTCATTTGACAATAAAAAATTAATAAAAAAGGCCTAACGTGAGGACACTGACTCAACATAGGGGCATTTTGTGATAAAATTGTGAATAAGTTTCAGGCCAAATTACAAGAAACAGATATTTCCAACCCTAAAATTCGTGTAAGAAAAGTTCTTGGGCATTTCTCTCGCCAACTTACCATCCATTTAGCTAATTTAGAAAAATTATCTCCAGCATAGAGAGACTTCCTTCTCTCTTTTTCACTTGAATGTTATTTTTACAGAGAATGCCAACATTTCTATGTACTGTACAGAGGTATCAGTATTCAATTCCCCAAATGTCCATACAGTATTGTGTTGAAATATATGGATTGAATCAATTTAAATTGGGCGACAATTTTTTATTTTCATGGAATTATGGTGAGTATTTTGTCCATAAAACACCGATTGAAAATTATATAATGCAATTCTAAGGGAAAATGAGACTCAACTTTGGGACATTTTGACTTAGGGGCACTCTTGATGCACCAATTACATCTGCATTTCGGGGTCTCACTGTATACTGAATAGTCAATTCGCTTCATTAATGTAATCCCATCCCGGTTCTTTCAAATATTTTTCGAAACAGGGTCCACGGTGTTTGGAGCAAACGCGGTTTTCAATCCGTTCGTCATCAACGATGCCGTCGTCTTCGATGCCCAAGAATCAGTGGAAGCTGTGCCACTGATCATGCCAGGTCACGGGGACTTGTTGCCTTCCGAGGAACTGCTGTCGTCACTGGAGAGACTCGGAAGGGCCAACAGGTTCTCTGTCGGGGGATCGAATCGTGGTGGCGGTGGTGGTGGTGGAGGTAGTAGTGGTGCTGGTTCTGGTGGACCCGTGCAACCAGCAGGAAACCGATTGCAGCAGGCTGAGGAACAAAGGAGGACTGACTGGAGGCTGCCCAGTGTTGCGCAAGTCGCTGTTACCCGGGGAAGCCGGTGAGACGATACTTTTATTTTCTTTGGTGAAGGAGGGGAAGATGGAGAGATGGAAGGAAGGAGGGAGAAAGAGAGAAAGAGAGACAGAGACAGAGATGTGGAAAGAGAGACAGAAAAGGAGGGAGGCAGAGGAAGAGAGAGAGAGACAGAGAGAGACAGAGAAGGTTCCTATGGTTTCTGTTCCATTTTCAGCGATTTTTTCTATTGGCTCTGCATTTGATTACAGATTTTTCAAGGTTTTATTTGTGCTTCGTTTTAGTTTTAAAGTTTCGTTTTAAAGAAAGTTCTGGTCATTTTAGTTTCAAGGAAATTTTCCATCCTGTTGGCAATTTGAATCAAAGCAGGTGAGAGTTGGTTACTTTTATTTTCTTGGTGAGAGGAATAGAGAAAGATGGAGGGAAGGAGGGAGGGAGAAAGAGAGACACAGAGGAGGTAAGGGAGTGAGAAGAAGAGGGGAAGAGGAAGAGAGAAGGCTCCTCTGGTTTCAGGGCCTTTTTGTGTGATTTTGTTTTAAATTTTTTCTCTCAATTCAAATAAAGATGTTTCAAGTTTTTTTAGTGCTGCATTTTTGTTTTGAAGAAAGTACCGGTAATTTTAGTTGAATGAATGATGAATGAACAGAAAGCTTCATTTTCCACTTTTCAGCCTTCACAAGGTTCAATCAACATTCCCACATCCAAACCCCCTCCCCTCCCACCCAACCCAAATCCATTCAAATGCATTCAATCACTTCAGAATGGGTAATTTTAGTTTAAAGGCAATTCTCCATGCTGTTGGCTGTTCAAATCAAAGCAGGTGAAATGTAACTTTTATTTTCTTGGGCATGGAGAGAGAGAGAGAGAGAGGGGGAAGGGTCAACTGGTTCTAAGGCCCTTTTGTATGATCTTTATTTGATCTCTCAATTTGAATACATTTGTTTGAAGTTTATTCATTTTTGCGTGCTAGTTTTTGTTTAAAAAAAGTTATAGTAATTCAGTTGAAAAGTAATTCACCATCCTTTTGGCTGTTTAAATCGAATTAGGTAACATTTTTTTTCTTGAGAGAGAGAAGGATCTCTAAATTTGAATAGAGATGTTTTGAGTCTTTTTTATGCTAATTTTCGTTCTGAAGAAAGTTCTGGTGATTTAATTGAAAGGTTTAATTCTCGATGCCTGTGCACTGTTTAAAATTGAAGCAGAACTGCAGAAGACTTCCCTTTTCAAATGAGAAGTCTCAATTGGTTCAGGACTTTTTTTCTCTCGTTAGTTATATTTTTTCTCTCTCAACGTGAATAAAAAAGTTTTAAGTTTATTTTCTCTTGAAAAGTTTTTTTGAAGCGAAGTTCTAGTTCTTTTTTTTTCTGAATTAGTTCTGTATCTTGCTTGTATTTTGAATAAAAGCAGGTGCAACGTCGCTTTTATTTTTGGGGTGGGAAGAGAGAAAGAAGAGGCTCTGGGTTTAGTGTTATTTTTGTGTACTTTTTTCATTTTTTCTTTAAATTTAATTAAAGGCGTTTCGAGTTTATTTTTCGCGTGCTAAATTTTTTTCTATAAGCTAAGCTCTGGTAATTAAGCTAACGTTATTTTTCATTTTATTTGCTATTAGAATTGAAACCGAGGTGACTATTTTTTATTTCTCTTGGAGAAGGTCCAAATGATTCAGGACCCTCTTCGAAATTTTATTTTTCTCACGTTGGAAATAGATTTTGAAATTTATTTTTGCGACAGTTTTTTTTTCTTGGCTTTAGAGCGTTCTGGTAACGGTGGTAAGAGATGATCCGGATATTTGACTGTTACAACATAAAAAATCTTAATCCCCTTTTTACTTGTTTTTTTTTCAGCGAGGAACTACCGTCGTTTGAAAATATGATCTTGTGAAAGTCGAGAAACATGTTGTTGCTGAATTTTTCCACTTTTCAATGCTAAATTTTAGCGAGAGCTCTAATAATTTTTTTTTACTCCCCTTAACAAAGTTTTCCGAATTTTGTCTGCTGTTTAAATCCAGAAACCCTATCCTATTTTTTGTGATTTCTTCAGCAAAGGGGGCCAAGAATATTTGAAAGTACAGTACTGTACTGTATGACCTCGTGAAAGTACGTCAACTAGTTGAAAAAAATATCTTGCTGCAGCATGGTTACATTTTTTTTGGTGCCGAATTTTGTTGAAAGTTTTGATATCTTTTCTGATTGGCTTATTCTTTTGCTTCTCTTAAACTAAAAAAAATGGGCTCCTTTTTGAGCTGCTTCTTTGGGTAAAAATATACCAAAAAATTTGAAGTATGATGGATGAAAGTGCGTCATTTTAGATTTGAAAAAAATCTTGCTGCTGTGAGCTGATAACACTTCTCCATGAGTGAATTTGTGGAAAGTTGTGATAAGTTCTCTGATTGTCCCTTAGCTCTGTTATGCACATTTTCTTCATATGTAAGAACCTATAAATAACAGACTCATTTTTGAAGATATTTTTTGGCGAACGAATTTTCTTGTTCAAAAATTATTTGACTGCGGAAAACTCTCGGGTTTTTGGGTGTGTTCATCATGAAGGTTCTATAAGTAGTTTTCTGCTCGATTTTTCGCTCAGTTCCTTTTTTGATTTTTAAACTACTTCTCGTAGAAGAATTTCAGCTATTGAAGCACGAATTGATTTTTTATTTGTGTTCAGACTGAGTTCTTTTGCTGTGAAGTCCAAGGGTTTTACGTATTTCATCGGTTTCAGCTGTTGTTATTTATCCTTTTTTTTTTATAGAAAGTATGGTTTAAATTTTATTTTTATAAATAAGTTCGAATGTATTTATCGATTATTAGGACTTCATATAATAACATTCCTTCATTTAGCAATCGTCAAACTAAATCAACTTGAAAATTTTATTTGCGTCGGTCTTCATAGTCGCTCGAGGAGTTTTTGAAAAATCATTTTGAAATAAAAATATTTCCCCAAATTTCGAAAAGCGAGTATTCCTCCATGAATTTTAATCATTTTCGGCCAAGCAGCTCTATATACAGTGAGACCTCCACATGCGGACGCCTCAACCTGCGGACAATTCAACACAGGGACATTTATTTTCCCATAAAAAATCAATGAATAACGTCCGACATGAGGACACTGACTCGGCGCAGGGACATTTTGTGATAAAATTGCCAATAAATTTCAGGCCAAATTACAAGAAACAGATATTTACAACCCTAAAATTGATGTTAGAAAAGTTCTTGGGCATTTCTCTCACCAAATAACCATCCATTTAGCTAATTAAAAAAATAACCTCCAGCATAGAGGGACTTCACTTTTTTCACTTGAATGTTATTTTTGTAGATGCGAAAATTTCAGTGTACAGAGATACACTATTCAATGCTCCAAAGGTTCTTATTGACTTGAAAATGTATTCACTAATTCAAATTCAAGTGGCAAACAATTTTTCTCAGGGAATTCTGAAGAATATTTCTTCCACAAAACACCAACTAAAAATTATTTAACGTGAGTCTATGGGAAAACAAGACTCGACTTGGGGACATTTCAACTTGGGGACACTCTTGATGCACCAATTACGTCCGCATCTCGGGGTCTCACTGCAATACTTTTTTTCAATACGCTTTTCAAGAGAAAAAAGGCCGCCGAGAAATTCTACCTCCCATGAAAGAAAGGAACATTTATTTCAAAATTACCGTGATTCAGCTCGATTTCAAAGGTCGAATACAATCTCACATGAAAAAAATAATGTATGCATGAGAACAAATACTGTTCTAGGAACACAAATGAGTAACATTAGGATCATCAAAAGCCGGTCGTTTGGTGTAACAATGGTTCGACAGGTTAATGTGAGAATATTTCGAAACCATATACGCTTGACTTCCCCCTAAGGCGGCCTTTCCCTTTTTTCCCTCCTCTCTCTGCTCTTCTATAAAGCTTTCGGGATTATTTTCGCATAAAATCAGATGCTGAAACACGCGTCTAATTCCTAAAGAAAATATATTTTCGGAAGAAAAAGGAAAAAAAAATGTGGAAAGTCATTAAGAGAATGAAGAAACGAGACTGATCTTGCGACGGAGCGAAACTGATCGATCAAAAAGCAATTCATCCTAGAGTTGAATGCGCTGGGGTGTTTTTTGTGGGTTAAATCCTTCTTTCGTAAAAAAAAAAAACGAACAAGAAACGGGACTCTTTTGTATTTTCTCTGGAAGAAGAAAAAACACGCTTGATGGCGTTTGTTTTGTAATTTTTGTTTTTGTTGTGGAAAGAAGAAAATGAAACTGGTTCTTGGTGGCTACGCCCCGAAACGAAAGCCATGTTTCATCATCAACATCATCAACATTCTCAGCTGTATTTTACCGCTTTTTTTTTTCTTTTCCTTCTTCCGAATGCGGAAATTAGGGCAAATTTGTTCGAGTCACGCTTTCGTGAGGTTTTTCTTTTCTTGTATAACATTCGTGGAAAAGAGAACAGAAACGGATCTGATTGATAATATTTTCCAATTGAATTTGTTGTTTGCTGGAAAAAAAGGCTGTGGCGTGACAAATTCAGCAAATATATGACGTGTTTGACGTTGAATCGGAATTGATTTTTCTTTTTTCAGCCATTCCCCCTGCTGTGTTTGGCATTTGTATTTTATTTGGAATTGGGCTGATTGTTGTTGGTTTTTTTTTGTATCTGACGAGAAATTATGAGCGATTGCTGCATCTGAAGGTGGAATTTCGTTTGAATTTTTTAAAGGTTTTTTTCGGGAAAAGTTCTGATAAAGTATTTTCATATTCTTTCTCTGTATTTATAGCAAATGCGACAGAAATACACAATGAAAGATACTCGTGAAAAAAAAATTAAAAATAATTTTCTTTGATCGAAAATGCTTGTTGATTTTCGATAAAATGCAATTAATTTTTTTCATCGCTTGCTCAATAATTTTTAACTTCTACGTTTATTTCGAAGAAACTGCGATTGGGACATTTTCAGCCGAAGGGAATTTAAAGATTTGATGAAAAAAAATGTAGCTCTTATTTAATTTACTGTCGTCTTATTTTGTGGGTAATTTTCTTGACAGGATCTTTGAAAATGCAATTTTGTTTTCTTTTTCTTCTGAACGAAGGACTTCGTGTCTTCAGCAAATTCCATTGTAATTTCTGACGAAGAAATTCCATTTTAAAACGACATGACCTTCTTTCGAGGTTATCCTGGGAGACGTTCCGATATTTTCGTATTAATTTTTCTCCTCGTGACTCCACGAATTGAGCTAAAGCGACAAAAACAATACAGTATCTAGAAAACCTATAATTTCAAATCAATTTCCGTCCATAAAACACGTGGCCCCAGTTGTGCTATAATTTTTTTCATCTTTGCTTTGTTCAAAAATTGTTATCTCCGAAATAAAATGTCCAATGCGATCGAAATAATTTGATGAAGGAATGTGACGAAATTTTCTGTGTCTTATGTGGATATTGTTTCGACAGAAACTTTCAAGATTGAGATTGTAATAATTTTTTTATACTCGATGGAACGATTCCGTGTCTTCCGAAAATTGAGTAAACGCGATTGAAATTTCCGATTGAATTTAAGCTACTAAGTTTAAAGATAATTCTACCCTCGGGGTTACAGTTTTTTTTTCTTTGTAGATGTATATTTTTCATGCCTTGACAAAATCGATGAATCGTTGCGATTGAAACATTCATCGAACAAATACGGTAATACTTCGATTGATTTCTCCCGCGTATTTTTCATCGAAGGTCTTTTCTGAGCATCAAAAAACTTTTCTTTGAGCTTCAGAAATAAATCGTATGACGATCCCCTGTTGAAATAGGGATTGAGCGCAATGGAATTGGCCAACCAAAGCTGATTAGTGCCACGTGATCGCTTTGAATCGCGTACTGTGACGAAAAAAAAAATAAACGAGATGACAGAAGTACCTTGAGCTTAATACTTCTAATGCAGTTCATGGACACCACAAGGTTCAATGATTGCCTCTGGAAATTCTTTCTGCAAGGGTATCTGATCTATATTACAGTACTGTGCAACGAGGAATCTCGTTACAACGAATTTTTCGTCACGACACAGTTTTTTTCTTGGTCCCTCTATATAGTTTCTCGACTGGGATGGTGTTTATTAGTTTCCTTATAGCGAACTAATTTTCCACAATAATCTCAGTGCAGACTCTCTCTACAACGAAATTCAGTAGACAAGAAAAAAAGTCATTGTGGAGAGAATTTAGTTGCAGAGAACCATCGGGAGATAATTGCATGGGACAAAAAAATTCTCTATACTATACAGTACAGTACATTGAAAAAAGTTTGGAAACTTTGGACACAATTGTTGTAGAGAGTCCACCAGCCCTGAGATTATAGAAGAAAATAAGTTTGTTATAAAGTAAAATCACGTTACCACAAACTTGTGGGGACTTCAGAAAAAGTTTGTTGTAACAAATTTTGTTATAATGAGATTTGGAAAATTATTGACTGATTGGAAGATTTTCTTCAAATTAAACCTGCATATATTCAACATCTTCATTTTGTGGCCTTTTCAGATGCATCTTTTTCAATGGCTAAAAAAGTGTGATCTTCAAAAAGAAATTTAACTGTTTATCAAAAAACAGATACTCTGAATAACAGGTAAATACTAGCTTACCTTCTTGCCTCCAAGTTTTTCTTAGCAATTCCTGCAAAGATTTGTAAGGGTGAATATTCCAAAATTGCTGAAAATTTATAGAGAGTTATTTGTAACAATGAGATTTTACTGTACGAGAAAAATATCTCCCAGTTGTTTCATTCAAGGTTTTTTTTCGTTTAAATGCGAGTTCAAATGTTTTTTTACCGATTGAGAAGATTTGTCATATTACAAGCACACATGAAAGGGAAGTAAAAAAGACATGAATTTTTAATGCCTCTTTTTTTTATCAGAATGAAAAATAATTCGAATTCGGACGACTTTGAAAATGAAAGACTGCCTTTTTTATTGATATTTTGAATGATTCGTGTAATTTATTTTCAGTGCTGTTTGTTGACCTGGAAACCTATAAATTCTGTGGAATCGGCAATGAGTACTGACCTTCAATCAACCAGTTTCATAATTCGCAATGGATTGTTCTTCGATTGCACACCTCCATATTTCAATGCCCGTTTTATAATTTTAATCATTAATTTCAAATTCGTAAACACAAATATTTTCAGAACATTACGTTTTCGATTGGGGCATGGATTTTCGCTCAGGGACTTTCTCACAGTAACGACTATATTCATTGATTTATCGAACTTATTTTTAGGCATCAAGAATTTGTGCACAATTCTTAAAATTTGCGCACAATTCTTGAAATTTGCGCACAATTCTTGAAATTTGCGCTTGTTTCAAGTGTATATCACTGTATTACAATGATGTATTACAAATTCGATTTTTCCCTTTTCTCCATTTCAAATTGGAGAACAGTTGCCCACAGAAATGATCAATGTTCTCTGAAAAGAAAGTCCATTTTGCATCCTTTCAAAACGGACTTAAAATTTAAAAAATGCTCTACAGTTGGATCTTACTGAATCTAAATGTCTGGAAGAAAAGTGAGCATAATGCTATGTTTTCGAAAAATTTACGTATAGGTAAGCTGCAATTCCCAGCAAAGAACCAAGTCATCTACTTCTCATTCGTGGATTTTTACGGCCATTTTTCTTGAACTGCCAAAAAGAAAAAAAACCTCTCAAATTCAAATTTCCATTGAATCCACGAACAATCCCATCGATAAGACCGATGCATTCTGAACCTTTCTAATGCAGACAATTTTAGCTTAAAAATCCCGTGATTGAATTTTCTAAAGCTTTTGTGTTATTAAACTGGGGTTAAATTTTCGTTTCTTCACTTGCTTTTTTTTCTGAAAATCAAGGAAGTCGATATTGCGAATTACTGTATTAGGGTATATTAATACTTCGCAGTCTTACACAAATGGATTTGTTTCTCTGTTCTCCATTTTGATGTGAAGAATGTACAGTATTTGGATGAATGTTATCTTAAATATACTTTTCATTTCTATATGCGTTGGAAGCATGAGTTTCTTGTCGTCATTCCTCCTGATAAATGTCATTTTTTTGTCTGAAATTTTTAGTCTGCACTGTCCGCATCTCGAGCGTATGTCCGCATGTCGGGACTGCTTAAATTATTATTTTTTTCGTTAAAAAATTGTCCCTATGTCAAATCGCTGAATGAAACAATTTAGTGAGTCGAATCGTTTCGATGGTTGCTATTTTCTTTGTTGCACGAGGAATTTGAATCAAATAACAAATTTTGTCTTTGGTTATTAAAAAAAAAAAAAAATTCCAGATTCCCTGCGAAACGGAGACCAGCCATCGCCACGATTCAACGCAACCTGGGTTCCCAGCAGAACCCGATCACGTCCCGGTTCGCGCCTGTCGGGGCAGGTTCTGCTGCTCCCAGCAGCATTCGACAACCTCCATCAGAACCCGAACCCAGCAGCAGGTTTCCGCAATCCGTGCAGCCTCCTGCTCCGAACCCGAAAAGCAGCTCATCATCATCATCGCTGGAAACCCCGGCAATATCGTCCAGCACTTCCGGGTTTTCCCAGTCGGCGGGTTACGTGAATCTCGAAGAGCTTTACGCACACGTCATGGCTGTTCGACACCACGCTGAGGACCTGGGTGTCGGTGTCGGTGTCGTGGATGTGGATGTGGAGAATGAGCCGGTTTTCCAGTCACGAGGCCCGGCTCCGATAGGTGTCACTGTCGACGGGGCGTCGTCACCGTCTGACGTGGAGGAAGACGTCGGGCAAACGAATTCTCACTTGGTAAAAAAAACAAATGTCTCAGCTCGGTTACTGTACTGTATCTCTTTATCTCATAAAATTAACCTGATGAGCTCCAATAAGTGGAGGTTGGTTTGTTGGGTAATTGTGTCTATATAGGCTTTGAACTAAAAATTTGAAAGATCAATATACAGTTGAACCTCTGTAAGTTCAATTTCTAGGGACTAGGAAAAACAAATTGACTGAGGGAGGTTTTGATTTTTGGAGGTTTCAAGTTGAGGAAACAAACACTTTTGTTGTGAGGAGAAGAAAAAAAAAAGTGTGGAAAATCATGAATGGGGATATTCTGGGCCTGAACTTGCTCCTTGATGAGTTCACACCTTGTTGAACTTTGAGGCACAAATTCATTTGTTAAATTTGTCTTTCACTTCCTTTCAAGATGCATCAAATTTTTTGTTTTAATCATTTTCTCTTCCATATTTCAAGAAAATAATAACCAGGAGGGTACAGAAAATTCGACTTACAGAGGTTTTAGATAATGAAGACTCTGAGTTAGGGAGGTTTTTAATGTAATGAATCTAAGGGAATTCAGACAGGGACTTTGAAAAAATTTGACCTAAGGGGGAATTTGACTTAGGGAGGTCTGACTTATTGAGGTTCACCTGTGTAGGCAAAATTTCAAATGCATCAACGCATGACGAGGCAAAAAATTATGGGAATCATACAAAGTATTTTCCACTGTTAAACCTGCCTATCAAACATTTATTTCAAAACAGTGTACAGTAGTTGAATCAATAATTCAATGGAAACACGAAAAATATACCGTTCTGAGAATCTCGGTTTGAAAAGCCAAATATTACAGTATCAAAGATAATTTTGATTCAAAATTTCCCGTTACAAACCAGCATATTTGTTTTCTCAATAATCTTGCAAGAAGTGCGTCTTGTCAGAACGAGAACAAATTTGAACTTTTTTTCATCCTTTTGTTTGATTTTTATAGTTGTCGAAGTCTTGAAACTCTTGTAGGATTTAAAAAAAATTATTTTTTGCTAAATCGATTTTTGTCATTATTTTTTTGGGAGAGGGGGAGGCTGATTGTGCTCGTTATTTACTTTTTTCCGTTTGAATGAATGAATGAATGAACAGAAAACTTTATTTGCCGCTTTTCAGCGTTCACAAGGCACAACCAAAACTCCCGCAGCCAAACCCCCTCCCCACCCAACTCAACTCCCCTCAAGACATTCAATCANAGCCAAACCCCCTCCCCACCCAACTCAACTCCCCTCAAGACATTCAATCACTTCATATCATGAAACAAAGCACGAACCAATGACAAAAACAGAAGAGAACACACTCCACAAAATAAAATAAAACTGGACATCCTACACATATGCTGCATACATCCACCTATCAATAATTCATTGGTTTGAATAAAATTCATAAAACTTTTCCATGTCCGGTCAACGTTTTCTAACCTAAAAAAATTGAACATGTGAGGCAAAGCAGTGAAATGGATTGCATTCCTTTTGTTTACCTAAGGGTCTTTCATGTTTATGCGCGGATTCTGAAGAATTTCCTCCCAGTTAACCACTCCCTTTTTTGCTGGAATAGGAAGGGCCTTTAGATTATGATCAGGTTCTTTGAGCAAGTGGAGCTTCTAGGAATTGGTGATAACCAAGTGATGGGACCCTGAGATGTGGACGTAATTGGTGCTTGGACCCTATCTCGGAACGTCCGCATGTTGAATCACGGTTTTCCAGGGACTTCAATCGGAACATGTTTAATTGGTTCTCCTGTTTATCAAAAAAAAAATTAGGAAGAAAGTCTCCCAAAAATGGAATGAAAGTCATTTCCTGAACTTCAACAAACAGAACGAAATGTGCAGAAAAAAAAAAACCACGCAGAATCTGATCTTCTGGCATGAAAAAGAGCCTCAAAAAGCAAAGAACAATAAGTGCCATAATTATTGCCATATTTATTTACGCATATGTTGGAAAAACATCAAACAAATTAGGCATACAATTAGCCTTTCCTTGAATATGAAAGTGAATTCATTGAGGGAATTTTTTAAGACGAAATCACGAAACAAGCTCAACACAAATTCATAAAATAATTTTCATGGTCAAGTGTCCGTATCTCGAGACATTGTAAGAATGTCAGGAAAGATTTTTCGAGTTCGAAATGTCCATAAGTCAAATTTTTTTTTATTTTGGGGTCCGAATTTTGCTGTTTGAGCCGTACACAAATTCGATGCGTTTTGCTGTAGAAATTGACTTCATGTACTTGTACAAGGAAAAAACATATATCCGAAAAATGCTAATAATTGTACATGAACGATTTATTATTGGAACCCCTTCACTTTTGCCCTCGGAATAAGCGGAAAAAATGGTTTATGAATGAGTACGAAAATTATGTCAAGGCCGTCGAACTTTTTGTGCATTATTCCAAGATGAAATTTCGAAACGTTTCATATATTTTTTTCTAATATGCCTGCTGTCTCCTGTATGATGTACATAGGGAAATCGACGTCGTCGACCAGGAAGTGTCATCAGACGCCTCATCACGTCCAGCACGGAAGTGCCTTCGCAATCCCAACAGGGTTCGCAGGCTGGGGACCCTCTGCAACCCACGACGATCCCATCGAACGTCGAGGTTTCCGTCGTCGACATCCCGCTCTCCACCGACATCCCTTTCACCAAGATCCTCGCAGACAAAATCCGCGAGGAAACTGAGAAAGTGCGACTCAAGAACCTGCAAAAATTGGCACTCGAGTCGTCTTCGTCTTCTGCTGTGCCGCCGGAAACGAGTTCGGAACCCGGGATCCTGATCCTGTCCTCAGTGCAAACCAGCAAAAGCGTGAGCAGTGATGACACCGACACAACCACCACCGCCACCACCACGACCACCATCAGCGCGCTACCAGCGACATCTACCACGGAGCGAACAAAGTGGACCCCGCCGAAGCCTCTCCCTCCCAGAAAGCCCAACTCCGGCGTCTTGTCTCCCCTGCTTTTCAAGAACAAAAAGGAGTCGGAAGACGTGGAACAAACCACTCAGTTCGTGAAATCCATTCCTGATGACCTGGTGCACATCCTGGCGAATTTCAAGCAAGAAGACCTGTCCAAGATCCTGCCCCCAGGAGTGAAGTTGATCTCTGTGACTACGCCTGAACCCCCAACTACTGTGGCGCCATCTAGTAGTACAACATCTTATCCAGTGGTTTCCAGGAAGAATAAGAAGCTTCCTGCGCATTTGGGCAAGGATGATGAGCCTGGGTTGAAAGTGTCTGATGTACTGGGCTCTCTTTTCCCTGGAGGAGGTGGAGGCAAGGGTGACCAGCGAAAAAAGCTTCCTCAAAAGAGTGTGGGTGATTTGTTTGATGAGATTGACTTTGGCTCTGCTGTAGGAGTTGACCCTGGCTTGCTGCCCAAAGATTTCAGTAGCACTACTCCTAGAACAACTTCATCAACCACTGCTACCACCACCACCACTAGTTCAGCAAAGCCAGTGCTGGTGAATCCAGTCAGCTTGACAGATGTCAAAAACTTGTTGCCTCCGGGTTTCAAGTTGGAGGATAGTACAGAGTCATTTGGGATTCAGAAGCAACTGGAAGTGCTGCTCAAGAGCTTGCAAAATTCTAATAATCAGAATGCATCAGTGTTGCCAACAACACAGACCACTACTACAGTTATTTCCACCACTTCCACTGCTGCTACACCTGCCATCCCAGGGTTGGTGTTTAAAGATGTGCTGGACACCAGTTTTTTGCCACCTGGGTTTGAAATCAAGCCTGAAGTGGTTAGTCCTAACCTGGCTGGGCTTTTACCCCCTGGTTATGTGGAGTCATTGTCATCTTCTACTACTTCTGAGAAGACTACCATCAGCACTGCTGGCACCACCAAGTCTACCACTAGTGCCACAACTAGTGTACAGACCACTGAAGCCACTACCAAACCCTTCTTGATCTTTCCTGGGGGCTCAAGGACCAGGAAGCCCATTGCTGATGCAAGTTCTCCTGCTCCAGTTTTCAACTTCAAACCCTTGGATGTGACTTTTGGTTTCCCGAAAAGGTTAGTGCAATTTTTTTCATTTTCTCTTACAGCTGTAAACATTATAAAGGCAAAGAAGAGATTCTAACTACTGTACACTATTTGTTGTAAAAAGTGTGATATTTTGGAATCAAGTAAGACCTTGCTTTTGGTAAAACTAAGCCAATAATGTTTGCATCCTCAATTATCCCCTTTCTGCATGATACTGTAGCTTAACTAACAAACTCATGGTATTTCAACAGGATTTTTTTTTTATTCTCAAGTTTGTCTTATTGGTGTAATTTCAAAATGTTTTGAACCTTTTGAATGCTGAAAAACAGCAAATAAAACATTTTTATCAATCAATCAGTGGTGTAGAGATGAACCAAAGAAAAGTTATTGACCAGAGATGGTAGAAATGTAGTAATATAGTGATGGTCAAGATGTGTTAGGGTTGATTTATACACTTTGGTCAATCTTCTGTTTCTTGAGTTCAAGTATTTTTGGATTATTGGAGATTCTCATAATTTCTACAAAGTAATTTTTGAGCATTTTACACTCATTAAATATGTATTCCACTTCTATCAAAGATAAAGAAGACTGAGGGTTTCCATATAAATGCTAGTAAAAAAATTTACTTCTCCAAACCACAAATTTTAGGAGTTTGGACTTCAGATACAGCCTAAGTGCTTGAAAACGCAGTAATGTATCCAAAGTAATTTTTGAAACTGGTTTGTTGCAATTTCGATCTTAACCTCATTATATACAAATATTCACTTTATTTTGTAATATGTATTTAAAATGTTGAATGTCTGTATAAATATGAATAAGTAAAATTTCCAGCACAAGTATTATATATATATGAGTTTGGAGGGTCTAAGTGGTTTAAAATACAGTTATGTATTTCAAATAATTTTTGGAATTGGCTTGTTGTCCAAGATCACCAAGATCTGAACACCATTTTTAGAATTCACCTTTTATTGTAATAACTATTTAAAAATTTTGAAATGTCATAATTCCTGAAATTTTAGCTAAACAAAAACATCATAAGAAGAAAGAAAATGCGGTGCATCTTTTATGTTAAACTTTTTTGAAAACAATTCCTGCCAAAAAATTAAAGTGCGTGTATCACCAAATGCCCATCATGCTTGAGTAAATGCGGTGACTTGTTGTAACGAGGTTATATTCTACTGTCGATTAATTGTCAAATTTTTAACAACAACAAAAAACATTAGAAAAGGTCAAAGCTGTTTAAAAATAAAAATAAACATGTTCCGACTTCTAGTGAACACATTGTTGTATATCTGTTTTAATGATCCTGAAAACTTGCGGTTTTAAAAGAACTGATCCGAGGAACGAACAAGACCTTGTCTGCTTCAGTGACCCCAAAGGTGTCAATAAGTCTCCAGTCTAACGTGATGTCACCAGACTTTTTTGCCCTGACGCAACTCATTGTCTCCAACTGTGTGTTATTTATATACTGTATATGTATGTATATATAACACGCGTATTCGAAAAGAAGAAAAAAAATGGGTGGGTCGGCAGCAAGTTGTTGTGCAACAGTGACTAGAGTTGTATGGTGGTAATCAGCTGTGGTGAGCAAGCAGCGAGAACTTTTACAAAAAAAAGGTAGTATATACATATAAAGACGGAGGCTTTTTCTTGAAACACAAGCGCCGTTTCTCTTTTAAGGATTCAACAACATACTCTTTTTTCCGTGATCTCATTATGCGGCGCGTGGGTTCATTTTATTTTTTTTTTCTACGAAGGATTTATGACCCCTGTAGGAATTATTTTCCGAGCATTACTCTTCCTCGCTTTTTTGTTTTTTGTTTTTCTTTTTATAGTCGGAAAATATTTCTCGAGGACTATTTTTTCGGTGCAGTATTTTCAAGTGTATTTCATTTTACCAGAAAGATCCTTGGAATGTTTAATTCCTTGCCCCGAGACTTTTCTCTCTCGTCACGACGTCTGCATAAATTTCCCGTAATAATGCGGATAATGGAGGAATCATGAGGAAAAAACGTTTGCCTTATCCGTTATTCAGGAAAGGCTGCTGATTTTGAAATAACATTTTTGAAATTTGATTCAGTCTCATTAGCTGCTAGATTTTGCTGTTCAACGTTTTAAATAGTACAATATCCTTAATATCGAATTGATTTTCATTTTCCTCTTGATGACATCATCCTGTTTCGTTTCTTTTTATTTGAGGAAGTCGTGGGATTGGTAACTTTTTTTCGCTGAGAAATTAGTGCAGTATAATCTTGTTAAAACGAATCGTTCTGAATTTTTGCAAAGCGTCGTTGTAAAGAAAAATTCGTTCGGGCGAGAATAAAATAACTGTGACTGCGGCTATTGGACGGGAGCCGAAAAAAGTTCGCTATACGGATTAATTCGCTGTAACGAGATTAGTTGTAATGATGCTTTTACTGTATCATTATTTTAACCAAACTAAGGTAATATCCTACTTCATATGAAAGTTTCAGACTTCCCAGTAGATTGGATGCTTAAATATTGAAAATGGAATGATTCGCAAAATGTGAGTTTTTCTTCGACGCAGAGGTGCTGTATAGATTTTTTTGAAATTTTTGAATGTTATGATTTGAGAGCATTTTGTCATCAACCATATATGTTTAAATTTGTAATCATTTTCTGTGAATATATCACTGCTCGGGAAATCGTGAGAGGATTTTTTGATGAATGCTTAACGTGAAAGAATACTTTCTTCAAGTTTTTGAAACTTTGTTTATTTCAGAAATTCACTTTCCAGACCCTTATTTTGAACTGCGAATTCACCTCATGACACATCCTTTTTTTTTTTTTACCATTTTTCAAATTTATATTTTTCAAACTCGTGAGGAAATTAAAATCTCCGAGCAAGGAAGAGAAAATTTGAACGGGAAAGCAGGTATTTTAAACGTGATTCTTAGATAGAGAAAAACTGCAAGGTTGCCAAAGAAATGAAGCCATGGATTTTGAATCGCTGTTTTGATTTTTGACAGAATTATTTCTTCAAATATTTGAAACTGTGATTCTTTCGGAAATTTACTTTCTAGACCGAATTTTGAACTGCGACTTCTTCACCTCATGACGCATCCTTTATTTACCATTTTATTAAATTTATATTTTTCAAACTCGCGAGGAAATTACCAAATCCGAACAAGGAAGATAAAATTTGAACAGGAAAGCAGGAATTTTAAACCTGAATCTTTTGAAGAGGAAAGCTGCAGTGTTGCCAAAGAAATGAAGCTATGGATCTTGTATCGCAGTTTTGATTTTTGACAGAATATTTTTTTTTAAAGTATTTAAAACTGTATTATGTTAGGAAATTAACTTTCTGGACCGAATGTTGAACTGCGACTTCTTCACCTCATGACGCATCTTTTATTTACCATTTTTTAAAATTTATGTTTTTCAAACTCCCGAGGAAATTACGATCTTCGAGCAAGGAAGAGAAAATTTGAGCAGGAAAGCAGGAATTTTAAACCTGAATCTTTGTAAGAGAAAAGCTGCGGTGTTGCCAAATAAATGAAGCTATGGATTTTGTATCGCAGTTTTGATTTTTGAAACTGTATTTTGTTAGGAAATTTACTTTCTAGACCGAATTTCGAACGGCGACTTCTTCACCTCATGACGCATCCTTTATTTACCATTTTTAAAATTTATATTTTTTTTTCAAACTCGAGAGGAAATTACAATCTCAGAGCAAGGAAGAGAAAATTGGAACCGGAAAACCGGGATCCCCTCCCCTCCCCCCTCACCTAATCCAAGGTGACCCGGAATTGAACGAAAGCTTTCACACGACCAACACAAAAGGAAAAAGTGGTGATAGTTCCACTGTTTTTAGTAGCTTCATTGCCTTTCCTGTATAAAGCCCCCCACGCCCACGTTTTTCGGAAGAAGGCGAAAGGTGGCCTTTTGCCCTCTCATGACCTCTCAGCGCGGGGAAAAAGTGAAAAATAGCTTCACACACACAAACATATACGCATCGTATACGAATATGCCCCGAGGGTATATTAGAACGGTATCCGAACTGCGACGACGAGGGAGTTTATGTATGGGAACGAGAAATGGCTTCTGGTCTTCTGGGGAGAATGAGAAAAAAAAGAAAAAAAAAAACGTGCAATTTTAATTTCTGCGAAAAAAAGAGAAAAAAATTATTCCTGCTTCGTCCAGTTGAAGTGTGGTTTTTGTTTCCTGTCCAACATTCGATGATTGGGTGAAAGAAGAAAAAATTAGTTTGCGTGCAAGAATTATTTGCATTATGCATTTGGGCGAAGGTGCAATCATGCATTTTTCTGCTGATTATATTTTATATGTTATTTTAATTTTTCGGGGCGAATGAATGAAGGAGTTGGTGCCTGTAGGCGATTTTCTCTGCTGATGTCAGTGCTATGGAAATAAGAGGAAAACTTTCACCCTGGGGAATAGATGAGCTTTGATTGCATTTCCTTGGCATCGTTAATCTCATTTCTTTGACCTGGGTTTTAAAATTTTTCATGTGCAATTCCCCCCCCCACTCGATTTATACGAATATATCCTGTTCTGATGCAACGAAGTTATTTTTTTTACTAGCTGGGATATTACGGCGTATATTTTTTCGATTTATTTATTTTTTTCGATCTTTACTTTCTCCTATTATGAAAAATTGACAGTGATTTTCCAGGGCTTCGTATATCGAGTACGGTATAATTTTTATTTTTTAAATGTTCATAACATTTTTTAACAAAATCTCCTTTCGCGAAATTCATCGAAAAAAATACCGTTTCGAAAAGGCTGATTTTCATCTCGAAGAAGTTTGCGTAGGAAGCTTGAACTTTTCATTTTTTTTGGCTGGAACAAGCTCAAGGGTAAATTGGCTGAAATTATATTGAAATTTTTCGTTTTGCAAATTTGAGGCTGGAACTCGAAAAATTAGGCGTGGGAAACTTGGAACTCTGCTCTGAAATATACTCGGGAAATAAGTTTAATGAAATTTGATAGTAAAGAGCGCATTTTGTTTATGTTGGCACTATACCTTGTTTAAAGTTATTTAAAATTTG